AGTAATTAATAGGACAAACAGATTAAAACTTAGTAAAGCTACAGATTTGAACAATATGATCAAAAGCAATCTAATGGACATAGATTGAAGCACTGTACCAGTGTCTTAAGGAAATATATTTTATTCAAGCACACGAAATGTTTTAAAAAACTGACGTACGCAATGTTTCATGTCAATTATATCTCAATAAAGCTGGGGGAAGAAATTGATCATATGCTGGACCATAAAGTCTCAACAAATTTTTAAAAATTGAAATCATACAGAGTATGACCTGTGACAATGCAATTAAATTAGAAATTAATAATAAAAAGATACCTAGGACATTCTCTTACATTCAGATATTGACATAACATTTCTTAATCATGGTTTAAGGAAGAAAATATTTTGAACTGAATGATAGTGAAAATACTACATAGCAAGACCAGTGGGATATTGCTTCAGCAGTGCTTAGAAATTCATAGCCTAAAGATATTTTAGAAAACAGAAACCTATTAACCACCTAAGCACCATCTCAAAAAGTTAGAACAATCAAAATAAATCCCAGAAAAGTTAAAATAAGTAGATCAAGGAAAGACATTTATAAAGTAGAAAAACATAGAGGATCAACAAAGCCAAATGTGTGTGTGTATTTTTTGGAAAAGACTAATAAAATTGACAAACCTCTGGTAAGATTGATGAAGAAAAAAAGAAAGCACAAATAACGAAAGTCAAGAATAAAAAGGAGGAATATGGAGAACTGTAAAATTTTCTTGTCTGAACATAGACTGACCTCCTTGCTCCCTGATAGTGAGAGAATAACCCATTCCCTCTGAGTTCCGTGAGTCAACAATTCCAAGAACAGGATAAGATGAGCCAAACCACGAAGAAACACAACTCATTCTGTAAGATTGTGATAGCTACTCTACCAAAGCCCACCAAAACTGCAGTAGGCGCTGCTGCTCTTGTGTATTTCCCCCATAAAACACCTCCCATTCCTCAAGTTTGGAGAGACATTCCCTTTGAGAACTTTCCCTGTTGCAACAGTTTGAATAAAGTACTTGTTCCCTTGAAGTCTCAGAAAATTTCTAAAGTTTGATGTTAGAAATGCTACAGATATTAATAAGATTTATAATTTTATGCCAATAAATTAGAAATTTTAGGTGAAATGAGAAAATTCCTAGAAAAATATAACTTACCATAACTTACTAAAGGTCTCACATCTTAAGGATACAGGGAGCATGGGAAAGATTGGAGTGAGTTCAGTCCTTATAGAATTCAAAGGAGCAAGAGGAGAAGGGGAGACAGGAGAGAGGAGAAAGAAAGCAGGAAGGGAAAACTTTAACAGTGAGTATGGAAAAGCCTTCCGTAGGCGTGCACTTTACATTTCTATTAGCAAATATGTCTGAAAGTGAAAGCCTGAAAAATAATTTCATGTGGGTTTATGTACAGAGACTAAGGGTGAAATGGTACTGAGTACCAGTCACTCAATGCAAGGGAACTTTTCCTTCATGGGATTCAGAAAGGACAGAGGGTCACCTAAGGACCAGTTAGCTGAGGAGATACAGTGGAAACCTGAAGTCTGTCTGCATCAGGACCTTGAGGAATTGGGTACAACTGCCCCCAGGGGATTCCCTGGGCTGGGCGGTCTCTCCATGCTTCTTCCCCAGCCTCAGCGGAGCACCTCAGCCTGGAGACATGGAGAAAGAAGTCACGATACTTTAACTCGATTCTTCTTTCCACTGAGTGTCTTGTTTAGACCTGGCAGTTCTTCTCAGGCTGGTAGTATTGGTTATGCTCAGGAAGGAGTTTGTGTGAACCGTGTGTAGAGAAGTAACAAAGCTCATTGGCCAAGAGCACAGTCTCTGCCATGAAGCCCAGGTTTCAATGAGAACTCTTACCGCCAGGTGACTTTAGGCAAGAAACTAAACCTGGTTTTATGCTGTGTGTCCTCATCTGTGTCCCACTAGGACAATTATGGTAGCGACCTCATAGGTTATAATGAGGGTTGGAAAAGTTAGTGTTATTAGAGCCCTTAGAAGCTAGTCTTGAATAAGAAGCATTTGTATAAGGGTGTGTGAAGTTAGATGTGACGGTGTGGTGGCCCCCATCCCAGGACTCCAGCATCAGGACACTCAGTAGAAGGCAGCCGCATCTGAAGGCCAAGAAAATCCCCCAAGAACCACCCACACATAGATAGAACCTGAGACGCGATTTGAGAAATACAATTTTTTGGATCTGTTTACTCAGTAGTATCCTACTTCTAAGCAAGCAATATGTTGTTTCTAAGCAGACATGCCTTGCTTCGCCAGGCTCAAAAGGGGCCAGCAGGAGGAGCTTCCAGCTCTGGTCCAGTGACCGACGGTGCTGAGGGGGGAGGGCTGCTTCTCACTTGCTTCTCCAGTTTAGGCAGCCTACCCACTCATGCGGTACACATTTCACTTCCCCTCGTGTTTTCTTGGCAATAGATGTGCTGTAGATTAATGCAGGAAGGGTTGGTGAGAGTCAGGCTCCTACCTTAACCATGGCTGTTTTGGGTGAGTATCCCTTAAGATCTCAAATGATAAGAGGAGGCCCTGGGGTCGGCTGGAGAAGTTCCTCTGGTCTTGGATGCAAAGTCCAGGGCAAATATTCCAGTGAGTGCAATAATTATGGGTTTTTTTTCTTGTCTATACTTTCCCCATGTGTAAAATGAGGGAAAAGACGTGACTCACAAGGTTACTTCTAAGGACTAAAGGAAAAGCACTTTGTATTCTGTAAATCTTCATACAAACATTACTGTTAAATTGGCTAATGATCTATCTTATTTTTAAAAGTTAAAGGAAGGAGATAAGATGAGAGCAAAACTTGACACAATAGAGAGGATCAAAAGTCAAGGTTGGTACTTTGAAAAGAGTATTAAAATTGATAAACCTCTGGTGTGATAAACAAAAAACAGAAAGGACAAATAATCACAACAGATCCCATAGGTTACTTAGAAGTGTATATTTTTTTCATTGAGTTCATAATAGTTTACATTGATGTGAGATTTCAGTTGTACATTATTTCTTGTCCATCACCACATAAGTGCTCCCCTTCTCCTCTACCCAATCCCTCTTCGCCTGCTAACCACCGAACTGTTTTCTTTGTACATGTGTTTGTTTATATTCCACATACAAGTGAAGTTATCTGGTGTTTGTCTTTCTCCGTCTGGCTTATTTCACTTAGCGTAATTCCCTCCAGCTCCAACCGTGTTGCAAATGGGATGACTTTGTCTTTTTTTATGGCTCAGTAGTATTCCATTTATATATCCCACATCTTTATCCAATCATCAGTTGATTGGCACTTGGATTGTTTCCATGTCTTGGCTATTGTGAATAGTGCTGCAATGAATATAAGGGTCATATGTTACTTTGGATTGTTGATTTCAAGTTGTTTGGGTAGATACCCAGTAGTGGGATAGCTGGGTTGTATGGTAGTTCTGTTTTTAGTTTTTTGAAGAATCGCCATACTGTTTTCCATAGTGATTGCACCAGTTTACATTCCCACCAGCAGTGTGTGAGGGTTGCCTTTTCTCCACACCTGCCAACATTTGTTATTATTAGTCTCAGTGATTATAGCCATTTTAATGGGTGTTAGGTGGTATCTTAGTGTAGTTTTGATTTGCATTTCCCTGGTGATTAGTGATGTTGAACATCTTTTCATGTGTTTATTGGCCATCTGTATATCTTCTTTGGAAAAATGTCTTTTCATAACCTCTGCCCATTTTTTGATCGGGCTGTTTGTTTTTTTGTTGTTCAATTGTGTGACTTCCTTATATATTATGGATATTAACCCCTTGTCAGATATATGAGTTGCAAATATTTTCTCCCAATTGGTAGGTTGTCTTTTTATTTTGATCCTAGTTTCTTTTGCCTTGCAGAAGCTCTTTAGTCTGATGAACTCCCACTTGTTTATTTTTTTCTGTTTCCCTTGTCTGAGTAGACATGGTATTTGAAAAGATCCTTTTATGTTCGATATCAGAGAGTGTACTACCTATATTATCTTCCAGGAGTTTTATGGTTTCAGAACTTATCTTCAAATCTTTGATCCATTTTGAGTTTATTTTTTTATATGGCATGAAATAATGGTCTACTTTCATTCTTTTGCATGTGGCTGTCTAGTTTTCCCAACACCATTTATTGAAGAGACTGTCTTTTCTTCGTTGTATGTTCTTGGCACCTTTGTCGAAGATTAGCTGTCCATATATGTGCAGTTTTATTTCTGGGCTTTCTGTTCTGTTCTATTGACCTGTGTGCCTGTTTTTGTACTGGTACCATGCTGTTTTGATTATTATAGCTTTGTAGTACATTTTGAAGTCAGGGATGGTGATGCCTCCAGCTTTGTTCTTTTTTCTCAGGATTGCTTTAGCAATTCAGGGTCTTTGGTTGCCCCATATGAATTTTAAGATTCCTTGTTCTATTTCTGTGAAGAATGTCATTGGGATTCTGATTGGGATTGCATTGAATCTGTAGATTGCTTTGGGTAGCATGGACATTTTAACTATGTTTATTCTTCCAATCCATGTGCATAGAATCTCTTTCCATTTCTTTATGTCTTCTATTTCTTTCAATAATGTCTTATAATTTTCATTGTATAAGTCTTTCACCTCCTTGGTTAAATTTATTCCTAGATATTTTATTCTTTTTGTTGCTATTCTAAATGGAATTGTATTCTTGATTTCTCTTTCTGTGAGTTCATTATTAGAGTATAGAAATGCAACTGATTTATGTAAGTTGATTTTGTACCCTGCAACTTTACTGTAGTTGTTAATTATTTCCATTAGTTTTCCAGTGGATTCTGTAGGATTTTCTGTATATAAGATCATGTCGTCTGCAAATAGCGAGAGTTTCACTTCTTCACTCCTATTTGGATTCCTTTTATTCCTTTCTCTTGCCTAATTGCTCTGGCCAAAACCTCCAGTACTATGTTGAATAAGAGTGATGATAGTGGGCATCCTTGTCTTGTTCCTCTTCTCAGAGGGATGGCATCCAGTTTTTCCCCATTGAGTATGATGTTGGGTGTGGGTTTGTCATATACGGCCTTTATTATTAGAAGTATATTTTTAAATTTCCAAACATATGGGGACTTCCTAGTTATATTTTTGTTATTGCATTCTGGTCAGAAAACATATGCTATGTGATTGTTATCCTTTGAAATTTGTTGAGATTTGCTTATGGCCCAGTGTGTGTTTGTCCTTAGTGAAGTTTCCACGGGCACTTGGACAGAACAAGTGTTCTGTAGATGCTGGATGCAGTCATCTAGATAAGGCCATTAGATCAGATTTTCTCTGCTCCTAATGAATTTTTATCTGCTTATTATATTAATTGAGATAATTGTTATTTCTATTCATAATTCTATGAATTTTGCTTTATATATTTGAGGTCATCTTATTAGGTGCATACAAATATGGAATTGTATCTTCCTGCTGAATTGAAACTTTAAGAACTAAACCTCTATCTGTAGTAATGCCTTTTGCTTACCTAAAGTCTGTTTTTTTCTGGTATTAATAAATCAACTTCTTTTTGATTACTGTTACATGGTATATCTCTTTCCATCCTTTCACTTTCAACTTTTCTGTATCCTTGTTTTAGATGTGATTCTTGGAAAGAGCATATAGTTGTCATTGTTGTTGTTTTAATCTAGTCTGATAATTTAACAGGAACATTAGGCCTTTAATGTATAATTTCTGATATATTTGGGTTGAAATCTTATTCACTACTTTCTATTTATCCACCCTGATCTAAGTTCTGTTATCTCTTTTCTTGCCTTCTTTCAGAATAGGTTAGAATTATTCTGTTAGAATTCTATTAATATTTATTCTGTTACTCAAGTTTTCCTTCTATTGGTTTGGGAAGTTATACACTTCTATTCTTATAATGGCAAAGGAATTAAAAGATTCAGTGTTGACTTACCAAAGCCTAATGTTAACTGGTACTTTTATCTTCATCCTAGACAATGTAAGGATCTTAGAATAGTTTATTTACTTCTCATCTTAGATGCTATTGCTTTTGTGAATTTTAATTATACATATACATATATAAAGGTATATAGATATGTATTGAAATACATTATTATTGTTTTCTACACCAAATGTTTATTTAGATTTATCCACATATTTAGTATTTTAATTACTTTCCATTACTCTTCATTCTGCTCTGCCTCTCCAGCTTTCCACGTGGGGTCATTTTTCTTCTGTCTGAAAAACATCCTTTAGAATGTTCTGTCCTGTTATAGGTAAAATCTTCCAATTTTTGTTTGCTGAAAAGTAGCTTTATTCCACCTTCATTCTTAAAAAGATATTTTTGCTGGGAATAGAATTGTAGGTTGAGCATGATATTCTTTTTTCACAATGGAAGCATCAATCCACCAATTTCTGACTTCCACTCTGGCTGGCAAGCAGTCAGCTCTTCATCTGTTTAATGCATTCTTTTGTTAATGGCTTCTTTTAAGATTGTTTTCTCTGCCTTTGGTTTATTCCAGTTTTACTCTGGTATGTTTAGGTGTGGTTTGTTTCTTTTTAATAGTATCCTGCTTGGGATTCTTTGGCCTTTTAAATTTGTGGATTTTTATCTTTCCAGCTTCTACAGGCTGCCCACATCCCTTGGCTCATGGCCTCCATCCATCTTCAAAGCCAGCAATGGCTAGACCAGTCTTTATCAAGCTGCATCACCCTGCCATTGACTGACTCTCCTGCCTCCCTCTTTCACTTATAAGGACCCTTGTGATTACTGGAGCCCACTGGGATAATCCAGAATAACATCCTCATTTCAAGATCTTAAGCATCTACAAAGTCCCTTTTGCCATGTAAGGTAACATATTCACAGGTTCTGGGGATTAGGATGTGGACATCTTTGGGATCCATTACTCTGCCTATCAGAGTGCTGAAGACCACTTATCTGCCAAACTCCATTCTCCTCTCCTGTGGGCACACAGCTAGACTGCATTTTCCAGCCTTCTTTGCAACTGAGTGAGGACATGTGGCTAAGTTCTCTTAGTGAGCAGAACTGTGAGTTCTTTCCCTCCCAGGTCTGTGATAACCTCCTTTGCATGCTCGGCGTGTTCTTTCCGCTTTCTTGGGACCTCAGAGAATAGGGAGCCTGGGTGCTGGAATGAGCACCAAGAAGGAAACCACCCACTGACTTGAACACCCATCCTGGACAGCTAAGTGAGCAAGAATTCAATTTCTATCGCATAGAGACTAAACTGTAGAGCCACTGCATTTTGGGTCTACTTGTTGTAGTAATTAGTTAATTCTAACTGATACACTAACAAAAGAGAAGATTTCTTCATAGGGCCTTGATTCCTAATGCCCATTTTTCATAGGACCTAACCTACTTCCATAAGAAGACTGAGGTCATCTAAAACAGGCAGCCACAATTTTTCACCTTTCCTCTTCAAACATTTATTGAGCAAGAGGTACAGGGCAGGTACACCTAAGACCTGGGATACCTGCTTCTTGGGTCTCTTTGGGCATACTTTCCTTTCTTTCTTGTTCCCTTTTCTAAACTAGGTCTCTTTCTTCAACTCTACTGCCCTCAACACCTTTTCCAACTTTCTCCTCTCCAGTGGCTCCTTATCTTCCATTTTCAAACATACTGGCCTTGACCCGTGTTGAGTCAGCCTTCCCTTCATTCTGCTCTACCATCAAACTACTTCTTTATCCCTCTGCCTCCTTCCACTATCAGACTTCACTAAAGAGTACATGACAGCTCGGACCTCACTTTTCTCCCCCCAACACCTCTTTTCCGCCATTCAGTCAGGTTTCCACTTTCACTTATCTAATTGATATTTACTGATCCCCTCCTTGGTGCTGGGGATGATGCAAGAGTGAGAGAATCCCTACCTTATGCTGCATCTTCCCAGCGTATAACACCGTTAAGCGGGTCACCACAAAGACAGAGAATCAATGTTGGTAGCTGTCCAGAGGTGGGAGGGAGCAGAGACTGAGTTGTCTGTGGGCTCAGGGAAAGACAAAATGAAGAGGCAGTGTTGGAGCTGACAGCTGGGGGCTGAGGCTGAGTAGGCGTTAGCCAAGCAAAGGAGGAGGAGGAAGAAAGTTACAGGCAGACACACTGCTGGAGAAAGGCCGAACTTGGAAGGCACCAGCAAGTCCGCATGGTAAGTAGGGTCAAGGACATGTGTGAAAGAGAAGAAAAGTGCTCTGAGGACTGGGTAGGGGTTGGAGGTGGGCTGTGGAGAGGAGTTGTTAGGCAGCAAGGTGCTGAAGCCCCCAGGGCTGTCTGAGTTCCCACCTCAGAGGAGCTCAGGGCATCCGGGCTGCCCTGCGTTCCAGCCATTGCTCTGTGCATGTCAGAAGTGAGACCCCATCGTCCCACACCCTGCTCTGTAGCTCTAGGAAGCTGAGGGACCTGGGTTTTGACTAAAGGCCCATTCTAACGTATAAAAACACGAGGGAAACCTAGAAGATGGGTGATGGCAACTGCAGCTCCTCTTCTCCCGACTCACGTCTGATCACCTCTCCCAGCCGGCCCATCTCCCATGTGCAGAGGAGAGGGCTGGGCAGTTCAGCCAGGAGCCTGAAGTTCCGGATCAGTTTTGCTCTCCCACCATCCTAAGGGCTGAGGTGTCCTGGTGCTGCCCCACAGAGATCCCGGATATGGGAGTGGGGTGGGTTTATAAATACTGCAGGAAGAGCTCTTTGGCACTCTGCCCAAACCCTGCATCAAGAGACTGAAATGAACGCTAGCATGGTTTCTGACAGCTCAAGGCCATGTCCCTAGGATGACTGCTCCAGCCCCCTTAAGTTCCTGCCTGGGACAACTCAAGGCTGCAAGAAGAATTACTCTTTGTTCCAGCCAACCCTTAAAGATAAGGTCCGTGTCTCCTAGTCTCTGTAGGAGTATAGGAGCCTGTCAGCAAATCCCTATGTACATTTCCCCTTTCCTGACTCTGCTGGCCCATCCCTTATTTCACCCTCTCTATTTCCTCTTTCTCCCTTTAAAATGCCCTTACCTCTACACAAATTGAAGTTGATTTCAGTTCACGCTGAACCCTCTTCCCTATTGCAATAATCATTGAATAAAATCTGTTCTTGCTGCTTTAACTAGTGTCCTGCTTTATTTATCTTTGACAGCTGGAAAGTAGTATTCCACCCCCTCCTCCCCTATCAATTAGGATGATGATCAGTGCTTTAAGTGAGACCCTAAATGACTGTGGCTTAGACAAGATGACGTCTAGAACAGCAGCCTAGGCTCACCATGGTGGCTCTGCAATCATCAAGGATCCACGCTCCCATTATCTTGTGACCCACCTCTCTCTTGGGCTGTTTCCTTCCTGTGGCCCAAGAAGGCTGCCCCAGATCTGGACATCTTGTCTGCATTCCAGTCAGCAGAAACTTCTAGAAGTCGGAGGTAGCAGACTTTGCTTGAGTCACATACCACTGACCAGTGACTGCACTCCTGAAGCAAGATGGGATTTTTCAACTTTGGGATTCTTATTTCCTCTCGAGATTGAGAACTGTTTGGTATGAGTGTGGAAGAGGAATTGGGTGGGGAGAGGGTGGGACAGCAGATGAGCTTGATATGTGAGGAGGAGGGTCCTGACAATACCACTACCCTCTCCTCAGGCTCCCGAGTCAGAACAGCTGTGGCCACGGGGTTCAGGTGCAGCTCCGAGGTATAATGAGTGCTTTTGGCTAAGTCACTTCACTGATTTGAGCTTTTGTTTCCACCTTGACAAGCTAATCTTCCCTAAAACGTTCTTCAAACTTTTTTTAACGCAGAGAAACTTATTTTTCAGACAGAAATTTAGAGAGAACCCCAAAATAGATGAAAGTGGAACTTCTCAAGTAGAGAGTGGGAGATTGAGGTGTTGCCCACTGGGTCTTACAGACTCTCTTGGGGGATGGGAACCACCTCCAAAGAACTAGATGCCACAGAAGGTACTAACCACTCCCAGACTTCCGGCCTCACCTTCTTCTATTTAGCAATCAGACCCCTCCCAGCAGAGTTTTGGCTGGGCACATGCCTAGCTTCCCTTCAAGGCTGTGGCCAGTGGGATGTGAGCAGAAATAAAAGGGCAACTCTCAGGTGATGTCCATAAAAAGAAAGCTCTTGGCCCTCTGCTTCCACTGCCACCCCCTCCCACCCCCGGCTGGGAAAGGAGACAACTGGAGTGTCATCTTGGACCCACAGGTGGATACCATGTATCGATGATGGCAAAGCCAACATGCCAGCCTTGGTGCCCCGGTGACCACATGGAACAGTGGAATTACTGCTATGGACCACCCACCTGCCCACCATCTGCACTGTTACCTGAAAGAGAAATGGGGGCCTGTCTTGTTAAAGACAGTGAGTTTGGGGTCTTTTCATGTAGTGGTTTAGCCAGTTGACTAACTAGAAAACCAAGGCTCAGAAGAGCACAGTTTGCTAACCTCTACCTTACTGTCTCCAGCCTTCAGCAGCACTCAGTTTATAGAAGACCATTTCGCTCATTATAACACGTCTCCCTGTGGCTTTGGCCCCCTTTTAAAGCTTCTTCAGCTCCACCCAATAAAGAGATCTGCAGCTCTGCTGGATGAGAGGATCAGAAAAGTTGGATCCAATGAGTCATAAATGTAGATGCTAATTTATAAACTGAGTAGGAACATAAAGCAAGTTAGTAGAAAATCTGATTTCTGTTGCCTTTTCTCCTTGCATCATTTCCTGCCATCTCCCACCTTTTCTTTATTCTTAGCACTCCTCCTCACTCCTCTTTCCCTTTGGATTTTCTCTGGACTGTCTAAATAAGTTGTTCAAATGTGTGACATTCCATGGCTCATCAATGACGGCTCATGGAAAAGTAGGGTGCACACATCTAGGACATGCTGAATGCTGACAACTCAAGCACCAGGAGATAGCAAAACCGCGTGAGAGGTAAACACTGGCAGGGAGCTTTCTTCCTATTGAGATGCTGCTAAACCAGTCAGGTGAAGGCATGCATAGACCAGAAAGACTGACCTCTCCTGAGTAAGGAGGAATTCTGCCAGCACTCAGCCTTTGGACTTGACCTGAGGCATCAGTGCTCTCCTGGCACACCCTTCAGATTTTGGACTTGCCAGGCTCTATAATTACATGAGCCAGCTCCTTAAAATAAATCTCTCTCTTTCTCTCTCCCTCTCTCTCTCTCGCTATATATATACACATCCTATTGGTCTGTTTCTCTGGAGCACCCCAACGAATACAAAGGAGGAGAGAGAATTATAAACTGGAGGGAAGAGAACAATGTTTTCAGAGGTGAACGGTGGTAGATTGCAACCAAGAAGAGCCAGACAGAAAGTGAAGTAAGTTGACACTTTCAAACCCATTTGGTATAGCTCTGAGGAATTAAGCCAAGTTGAAAGACTTTCCCTTTAGAGAAGGAAATAAAGTAAGTTTGAAAAGTCACATGGCCATTTGAGCAGTGCCTTTAGTCCCACATGATCACTTATATTTATTGCCCAAGATTGGGTGCAACAATGTTAGATTCCAATGTATGCTTTTAGTAAGTGATTACAACAAAATGACAAAATTGGAAACTCCGATTTAAATGAAGCATTGGCCACCCATATGCAGGGATTGCAGATTCCATGAAAAGGTAAGATGGTTCCAAAAGGGTGATTTTTCCAGAAGAAGGCAAAGCTCACCCTAACCTGTGAGTGTGACACTAACTCATCCTGACTGTTGATCCCACAGTCTTCACAGTAACGCCCTGCAGGTCTCAGTGTCCTATCAGTGACTTGCAAACACTTCAGACCCTGACTACAGTGACAAATATCGTAGCCATGTCCACACAGTCACCCAAAGACACAAAAGGTTTATGAGACAAAATACAGGCAAACACTCTGATGCCCTCCCTTACTCCACCCTACGCCCTACCACCTACCCTACCCTACCCAAAATGCTGGCATGACCTGGATTCACAATCTGTAAGAATTGTGACTGGCTGTTTGAAACCCCTGAGCTATTACCTATTGCTTTGGCTGGCCAATCAAACCAGCCAGTGTAGAAAATTTATTTTCTGTCGTTGTCCCAAAGTTCCTAGAGGGAAGAGGGACTCACTGCTTGGAGAGGGTATTGTCACCTAGGAATCAGTAACCAAACCTGGATCCTGAGGGCTCAGTGCCATCTGTGGAAGCTGCCACTCCTACTTTAATTCCATCTTCACAAATATTGAGGCTCACTTAGCATGCCGTCCTATTGCTGAGATCGCCAGATTTAGCAAAGCAAACAATCAAATAAAACCAGGACACCCAGTTACATCTGAATTTCAGACAAACAAGGAATCTTTTTTTTTTTTTAATGTGTGTCCCATGCAATAACAATAATTCCTTGTTTATCTGAAGTTTAAATTTAGCTGAGTGTCCTGTGTTTTATCTGGCAACCCAACTGGCTGTATGCCCTGTCCCTTTACTCTGAAGGTGCTAAATCATATGGATGGGTCCAGGCGGGACAGGATGTGGGAGCTGCTGCTGGGAGGAAGGAGGACATCTGGCTTTTCACTGCTGCCCACATACCCAGCAGCCCCCTGCAGGGTTCACTCACCTGGTGGACACCCTCTGAGGGCACTGGAATTGGCAAGGTGGCACAAACCCTGCTCCTGCTATGTCCACCTGACGCCCAGGTCCTCGTGGAACCTCGGCATCCAAACCTGGGGGATGAAGGTTGTTCCACTGCCACCTCTAGCTCAGAGGCAAAGGGACAGTCGCCAGCCCTATGCAGCTGTTGAACAGAACCCCAGTCTCTCCCTCCTGCAGTCACTCCAGTCTCTACAAGTGATCCTCTCCCTGAGGGAGGGCCTACAGGGGGAATGGGGAATAGCTTCAACTCCATTCCTCCAGAGCCTACATCCCCAGCCTCCTCCTGCCTCCAGTTCTATACATTCCAAAGAAAAGTCTTGCCTTTCCATCAAAGAGCACACTCTGTCCACATAGGGCAAGGCTGTTCATCCCCGCAGAATTAGGACCTTTGGACTTGGTTTTTCTTCTTATTCTCCCTTCTGCCCCCCAGCAGAAAATTGGTCATTGTCTGAAATCGCTCACAGACGGATGGTGTAGTGCAGCACTGTGGTCTTCCCTGCCTTCCTGCCGCTTGGGCTGTCCCCTTAACGTTTGGTTAAGAACAAGGATAAACCTCGCCTCCTGGTCACGGCTTGGGTAGGTCCTGAGTTCCCAGGCCCAGCAGGGTCTCCCTTCATGGCCTGGGTTCTGTTGTGAGGCTGTTGACACGTCTGTTTCTCCAATGGGCTGTGAGCAGCGCAAGGACAAGAGCTCCACATTTGTGAAATCAGCACATGAAGTGGAGTCGACTGCAGTTGGACAAGGCGGGCAGGTGGAAAGTATGGGCCATGGTCCTGGGTGTCCCCTCCTTTTACTTTCATCAAACTTTTTCAGTAAACACAGCTTCTTCCCTCTGACACTGCCAAGACCCATCAGATCTGCTGCCAGGTCACAATTCCTTCTGGGGCCTTCTCTCCCTTGTTAACACTTACTTATCTAGACCTTTCTGCCAGGGCTCTCTGGGTCTTCCAAAGTGGCATTAAAAAAAAAACCAAACTCACTAATTATTGCTAATGTGTAAATGGCTGCCATTGGGATAAATTTGAAATTTTGTATTTTTAAAAAAACTAACAGGTATTTACTAAGCTCTGCTATGTGTGTCTCACACTTTTAGGGTCACATAAGGTTAAGACACAAGTTCTTGTATTCAAGAATCATACTGGAAGACAAGATTTAAATACATAAGAACCCATTTAAGAATGACCCAAAGAGACTAGTAGATAATAAAATGCATTTGAAGTGACTTATAAAGGTCATATAAATGACACTGTTTCATCATCTGTGGAATCACAGAGGATTTGATCAGGTTATCCCTAAAGTTTCCTTATTTGTTCCAAATAAATTACCAACTAGATCTTTCAAATTTTATACTATAAAATAATGTGATATGATACTTTGTGCCAGGCACCATTGCTGGCAACTCCTCCAGTCTTCACAAGCATACACAAGGTGGCCATTATTCATTTCCCACTTGGCAGGTGGGGAAATTTAGGCATAGAGAGATTAAGAATTGCCCATGGGCACAGAGCTTTGTGGTGGCGCTGACATTTGAACCTGTAGGGGCAGAGTGAGAATTCCCCGGCTCCTTCCCTTAAGGTTCTTATGGCTGGTCAAATAATTAAAAATGTAGGTTAGCAGAAGAAAATCAAACAAAGTTTAATGACATGTATACATGACAGAAACTTAGGCAAAACTGAGCAACTCGCCACAATGGTCAAAGCCACCCCCCTAAACATCATCTCAACCAAAGACAAAGGAGGATGCTGGGGTAGTGGCTTGGGACCTCAAAGGGGAGGAAGGCAACCCACATGGACATGGGAAAGCAAATGTTTGTTAGACAACTGTTTACGGGACCCCCCATAGAGAATGTGGCCCAAGAGACAGGACTTCGATAAGATGGGCTTGTTGGTGCCTTTCCTAGCACACCTATTTGACATTATACTATAGTTATCTCGGGGCATTAGCTCCTTCCTGGATCAGGCCCTCCATCTCAAATTCCTTCAGGCAATTTAGGGGAAGGCCAAATATTCTTCCTGAGTCTTCTGATCCTCTATGTCTTGAGCTCAAAATAATCTGCATACCAGAGTGGCACATCTTGGAGCTGCCTGCCCTGAACCCCGTCAAACCCAAGGCAGCAGACCCTGGAGTGTGCGTGTAACGCTGGGCCATGATGTCTCTCGGTATAGGCCTGAACCTGTGCTTTCCCATACATATTCACTCACTGTTCAGATGGTACTTCCTTACTTTCTTAATGGGAAAGCAATGTATCATTCTTGGAATGCCTATTCTATTTTCCATTACCCCACAAACTTGGCCCTCTTGGTTCAAACTCATACAATTTGCAACCAAGTTTCTAACATTTTCTTGGCTGTACCTCTTCTCTAGGGATTTGGTTTACTGGAATCTATAAATTTCACTCAGGTTTAGACCCAAAGTCCTGCCTCCTATATCGCATTTCTTTCTTCATTTTCTCAAAATTTATCAGGTTAAACCTTCAATATTTTGTCTCTCTTTTTTCTACCTCTCTTTCTTAATTTTGATTTCAGAGCCTCCCTGGGAGGATTTCCAGAGAGCTTCACTAAAACTTTCCCCGGTGGCTGCTCACGTCTGCTACATCCTGCAGTGTTCACACTTCACGCCACTCTCTCAAGAGTCTGCTGGGGGTGGGGTGGACATGGAGAGGAGCAGACTAAGGCAACTGTACCACGATGAATTCCAATACATGTCCAAGAAGGATCAGTGCTGACAGCTACTGAGGGTTCAGGGAAGGGGTGCATGTGCGCTGGTAGTAGAAGACTTCTAAAGACTTGGGTGGGTGGAGAAGGAAGAGGTGGTATCCCAGGCTGAGGGAGGCAAGACGAATCTGGAGTCTTCAGGTCTCTCAGACCAACCATCTCTTCCCTGGAACAAAGTGCATATGGTATTCCAGGTATTGACAAAGCCCAGAAAAAAGGTAAACCAAAATGTTTTCTTGGAATATTCTCCTCACTTTGGGCTGCGGCTGAGTAAGCTGCTCCACTTCATACATCACACCCACTTCCTACACTGCACCCGATTATTTTCACCCACTCAAGAAGGCACTGTCAGAACGCAGCAAGCAAGCTTGATGCCCCCAGACATGACCTCAGATGGATCTGATCAATTAGAAGGTCAGTCCTCTGAAAAGGGCAGCGCATTAACAGTCACTGATCGGTGTTTGACCCAACACAGAGGAGACTGCCACACAGCAGTGAGACCACTCGGAGTGGAGGCACGGGAAGAAGTAGATTATTAACTCCCAGAAACTGGTGGCCGCTTTTTAAGAAACATTTGCCTTGAACAGTTTCCAGACAATACCTAATGAGTGCTTGCTGGCAGTGCTGGACCGCCTTTAACTTAAATTCTCCCATGGTTCTGAGGGCCAGGCTGGGAGCGGCATGTGTGGACCACACTTTGTCCAAAAGTGAGGTGAAAAACAGTCACACACCTAGCAGAAGATCAGAGATGGTACTTTGAAAGATTAATAATGTATTTCCTTTTTTATGATTAATAAAGATTATCACTGACAATTATTCAAAATGTTTCTAATAGGGGCCAGCCCTGTGGCCGAGTGGTTAAGTTCGCGTGCTCTGCTTCGGCGGCCCAGGGTTTCGCTGGTTCGGATCCTGGGTGCAGACATGGCACCACTCATTAAGCCATGCTGAGGTGGCATCCCACATGTCACAACTAGAAGGACCCACAACTAAAAATACACAACTATGTACTGGGGGGCTTTGGGAGAAAAAGGAAAAATAAAATCTTTAAAATGTTTCTAATAATTATAAAGGGTTGTTCTCGTCTAAAACTCATTTCAAAAAAGGCAAAGGAATTATGATAAGGTTATAATTATGGTTTCAGAGTAATGGTTGTGATTGTTTCCCCAAAGTACTTTTCAACTGCTCCTACACAAGGAGATGCTTTAAAGGATTTGGTCGGGGTTTATGAAAACTGGTCCCTGAAACCAAGACCAGCACCCAAGCACCTTGACACCAGACTCAGCTTAGATTATAAGGAGTAGAAATATTTCTATTTGAGCTTGTTTCTGCTTGAAGTAAAGAAGGTTTTATGGCCCTCAAACCGGGACTTCCTTCTCCTTTCCTTCCAGACCTTGCCGGTGACCCACCTACATCCCTCTAAACCCTTTTTTACAGCAGCACTTCTGAATTATCTCTAGTTTTTCACTTGTAAGTTTCTTTGTTCTTTCTTGAGAATGAGTCTCTCTTCCTGGAGCTGATATATCCTGAAGGCAAAAGACACTTCTATTCTGGACTGTGCTCCTTTGGCTGCTTCCTTCTCCCACCTCTTTTCCCTCTCCTCCCCACTCCCCACCACCCCCACCAGTGGAGGCCCAGGACAAGAAAACCTCAGCCTCCTGGCATCAGGTCCAAGGTTTCAAATACTCACTCTGTAACCGGTCAACCCCTGCTGATGGACTTGGTCTAAAGAAATACGGACCTGAGCAAATGCTCCTGGTTTAAATGAAATTTTGCAGATTTAAAAACAAATCAACCAAACCAGTGATAGTCAGAACTTACAAGATTGTTAAAGAAAGGTATTTAAAAGCAGAATGGCTTTCTCTATGGCATAATCACACTTTAAGAGCCCTGTGAAAGGAGAGGTTGGGAGAGGAATGGGAGCAGCTTTCTAACGGAGGGGATGCTCAGGGCTTTCTGCTCTCAGCGGGAGACGGTACTGGGGACCTGCCCTGAAAGCCCAATGCACTGGCACCTGGCACTTTCTGCTATCTGTAAACTTCTAAATGCCACAGATATTTTACATAGCTCTTTCCAGTTTTAAAACAGTCCCACACCCTTGGTTTCATCTGATCCTCATGAATACCTCGCTAGGTTTCAGTATCATTACCTTAGAAGAGAAAACTGCATCTACTGAGTCCAGAGAAATCAGAGGAGCCAGGAGATAAATGTGCACTGAACTGAACCAGATACAGAAATATGAGTGTTTTAAGGTAAACGGAGTCTCTTCTATTAAGAAGCTCATAATCTATTTGGGGGGAAATGCCCAAAATTAAAATAATAAAAATAACAATAAAAGGATTAAATAAGGGAAGCCAGATACAGACAGTAAGTGAACTGTGAAATGAGAAAGTGCTGAGATGTTAAGTGTACTTAAATCACTTTCATCTCATGATTGGATTAAAATTCCCAAATGTCCTCCACCCACCAAGCTGCCTTCATCCCAAGTCCCTGCTTAATATTCTGGGTTTTACTTAGATTCCTTATGGCATCTATAAAAAGACTTCAGCTGTACACCTTAGCTATGGTGATGTCTGGGCTTGTCACATCCTCTTCAGTCCTGCATTTTCAGTTCAACTCCAGATCAAAACATTTTTTTTTTTTTAAGTCACATGGAACATGAAAAAGGGGTGGGGGATATTTGTCTTCAGTGTTCCAGAAAAGTCTATCTTCACCTAATCCTCAACAGAGTAGATTTTAGAAAACAGTATGATGACTAATGAAGAGAGACAGTATGAGAAGAGGGTGTTTCAGGAAAGAATACCAACCATGCCAAGGAGAGAGTGAGTGAGAAGACGGAGAAAGTCAGAATGTGCCATGGGCAGGACTGTCTCCACCTGACACAGAAGAAACATGGTGTGATAATTATGTGCATACTAAGAGGGATAACAGATTGCGTAAAGTTGGAATCTCCAAAAATCTAGAATGGCACTGACCCATATCCACTGCCCCCAGAAGACACAAATTCGCCCCAAAAGCCTCCTCCTTCATCTGGAGATTCTGTAGCCTTTTATGTGGAGACTGTGATCCTGTCTCCTTATATCACATTGGCAAAAACAGATGCACAGTGGAAACAACTCAAATGTCCGTCAATTAGTGAATGAATAAACAAAATATGGTATATACACACAACGCAACATTATTCAGCCACAAAAATGAATGAACTGCTGATACACGCTATAATACGGATGACCCTCCAAAACTATGCTAAGAGAAAGAAGCGAGACACATGGTGTATGATCCTATTCATATACAATGTCCAGAATAGACCAAATGATAGAGACAGAAAGTCAATGAGTGGTTGCTATGGGAGGGAAGAATGGGCAGTGACTATTAAGGAGAATGGAGTTTCTTTCTAAGGTGATGAAAATGTTGTGGAATGAGTGGTGATGGTTGTACAACTCTGTGATTATACTAAAAGCCACTAGATTGTACACTTTAGAAGGATAAAAATATAGCTGTACAATTTTAGAGTTTTAGTTTAAATTTAAGGAAAACATGAGGGAACTGAATTGTATTAACCTGATGTTTCCCTGGAAACATTAGAAACATCAAAAATAGAACAAACATAACTGAAAACCTAGTTACAAAAAATGGAAAAGAAACAAAGACACAAAAATGAGAATGATGGAAGACAGTCAAATGAGTCCTAACATTGGTGTTCCTAAAGAAGAGAACAGAACACATGAAACGGGGGAAATAAGTAAAGAAGCATTAGACTGAAACTTTTCTGAACTAATCATAAGAATAGTAACTGCCATTTATTGAGCACTTACTATATACGCCAGGCATAGTTTTAAGCACTTTACATGCATGATCTCATTTAATCTCAGAATAATTGAATAAGGTTAGATACTATTATCATCTCTACTGTATTCACAAGAAAACTCAGGCACAGAGAGGTTTAGTAACTTGCCAAAGGAAATACTGCAGTAAACGGAAGAACTGGAATAAAATAAAACTTGAATCTACAGATTTAAAGGGTATAATGTGTCCAGGAAAAACTAATATAACTGTCATTCTGGTAAAGTTTACTCAAATTTATAGATAACGGAAAACCTACATGGGCATCCAGACTGGAAAATCCAAGTTCCGCCCAAAGGGAAACATCACCTTGGCTTCAGATTTCTCCTCAGCATCAACTAGTGTCAGAAGGTCAGGAGGTTGAGCAACGCTAACAAATCCTGAGGAAGCGTGACCCAAGACTTTCATGGTTGGCCCAGCTGTCCTTTAAGTAGAAAGGCTGAAACTACTGTCATTCGTGCTTGAGGTTTCCCACCTGAGAGAACCTTTGCCTGAGTTCAACCAATTCCAGGAAGGAGCTGGCTGGCCGGCCCCAGGTCTTGGGCCACACAGTTCCCATGACTTGGGCATGAGATGTCATGACTGGCCCAACTTGGGAAGAAACAGGTAGAAAAACACAGAGTTGTGAAATAACTGGGAGATGAACTTTGTGGGGTGTGTTGATTGACTGGATGTAGGAACTCTGTGAAAGACTTCAGGGTTTCTGGCACAAGTGATGGGTTGGATGATGGAGCCACTTGCTGAGAAGGGGAATGCTGGGGAAGAGCTGGGAGGAATGCTGTGAGCTCAGTTTTGGACACTTGAATTAGAGGTATCTTCGAGGGGACCAAGTTGAGATGTCTAGCAGACAGCTGGGCCTGGAGGACAGAGAAAAAGGGTCTTGGGGGGCTTATTTGGGTGTCTCTGACACACAGTTGATAATGGAAGCCATGTGACTTCTGGTAATCATCTAAAAAGAAAGTGTAAAATGTGAAGAAATGAGGGCCCAGGAAAGGGGCCCAGGGAGCCTCAGCATTTAAGTGTTGGGCAGAGAAGGAGGGAGAAGCTAGTTAGGAAGCCTAACAAGGAGTGGTCAGAGAGGGAGAAGGAAATCCAGGAGAGTGTGGTGACATGGGAGTCAAGGGGGAAGATGCTTGCAGAAGAAGGGCACAGGTGACTGCGTCAGAAGGTGCTAAGAGGCACAGTAAGATAAAGGGAGAAAATGAGGATGTCTGTTTCCTTATGGATCAGATTTTTTAAATACATTCCAGGATAAAAGAGCACATGACAAACAGCACACACATAAACTGCCTTTTGTACCTATCAGACCTGGGACTGAGATCAGTACAGAGAAAACTTTGCCAGGGTGAGGAGAAACCCAGTAAATTATAAAAACACCTGTAGTTTCTAAAACGAATTTGAAATAATTATCTGAAAAATGCGTCTGAGAAAAATATATACTTGAAAAATATATTGTGAAAATAGCCAAGAAAACATTGAAAAACAAGGTAATGGGGGAAGACTTTTACTGCCAGTTATTAAAACTTTCCAGCTGCACTGATTAGAACAAGAGCCAGAATAGATAACTTCCAAACCAGAAGAGAAAGCCTCAATACCTTAGTTTTCTGGGGACTGTGGATTAGCTCCTTGATCTCTGGCTACCTTCTTTCTAGTTGGAGAGGCTGGAAATCAAACTCCCTTGCAATTAGTTTTGGCCCTTGAGTGAGATCTCGAAGGCAGAAGAGAGGTGAAGGCCATTTTCCTGCTGCTTCTGATGGAAACATGAGGCTTCTATGAAGAGGAGGGACCTACCTGGCATAAACAGCCCCTTGGCCATATTCTCCATGTGTTCAGTCCCTCTTGGCCACACTCAACCCAAATGTGGGTCCATGAGACTCTGCCTGCTGGTCCTCCAGGTGGAGTAACTGACACAAAAATCTCCAGTCTACTCGTAAGTGTTTATTCGAAGGCAGAGCATGTGCAGCAAGACCAGACTTCTGGCCTAGCTGGCACTGACTCCTGCAATGTCACAAGAGCACAGACACAATTAAAAAGTAACGAACTGGGAAAATATCACTGGAATTAAACTGTAACTGATCATTAATAAATAAGCAAATCCAGCAAAAAGTGCTAGCATTTACCTTGATTTAACTAGATTTAGTTTTTCTGCCATCAGAGGCAATGAGGCCTCAACAAAGGCAACACAGGTAACAGTACTTTATTTTATATTCTATAAAGAGTTCTTGCAAATGAAGGAGACAAAGATGAGTTCAAATGGGCAAAAAATATGAGTAGGCAATTCACAAAAGTGATTCATGAAAACAAGTTTGATTTTACCAGTAATTAATTAAATATAACTTAAAACAACAATGCAAAACCACTGTTCCATCAGATTAGCAAAGATGACAAAAAATGCTAAGACACTGCTGGCAGGGTATGGAGAAGACCCTCCTGCCCCCCACGTCAAAGCACTGCCACCTTTCTGGAGGGCTGGTGACAATACGCATCAAAGCCTTCAACGAGTGCACCTCTTGACAGCAGTTCCAGGATTTTATTGTGAGGAAATATTTAAGGATGTGTACAGAGATTTAGCTACAAGTAATTTTGCAAAAGTGAAAAGTTGGAAACAACCCAAATGTACAAAAACAGTGACGATAATTAAGGTGCATTTGTATAATGGGATACCACACAGTCATTAAAAATGCCATAGAAGTATACTTTTTGACATGGAAAAACGTTTGCAATATATTAGGCAATAAAAGCTAGTTATAACATGATCCCAAATATGCATATACATGAACAGAACAAATTTGGAAGTCTTGATTATTTCTGGCTGCTGGGTTTACAGATGGTTTTTATTTTTACACTTTGCTTATTTATTTATTTATGGTTTATTATTTTTCTGTAATGAATGTACATTTATTTTATAATAATTTTTAAAACCTGGTAATTATGTGAAAGTGAAAGAAGAGAAGAAAGGGCATTAGTAGTCTGAATTCACTTGAATTAAACTGTAACTGATTATCAATAAATAAGCAAATCATAAAGTGCTAGTGTTTACCTTGATTTAACTAGATTTAGTTTTTCTGCTACCAGAGGGAATAAGGCCTAAACAGAAAGTGACTTGAGTTACAGAAAATAAAGTTACAATTCAGGCATATCTAAATTTGAACTGTGAAATCTGTACCTGTTACATATGTCTATGTGTGTTTATATAAAATATTTGGAAGGATATCCACTAACTCTAAAAGTGGTTCCCTTCAGCAGGGTGGAATTAGAGGAGGAGGAAAGATAATCAGCTTTTTAACAATTCTGTATTGTTTGACTTGTTATAACAAGCATGCAAAAATCTGCTTAAAAATGGTTGTAATTATGAAAATATTTAGAAACATGGAGAGTATCTATGGTATAGTGATAAAAAAATCATAATGCAAAATACGTTTACTATGCTTATAACCGTGTTCATGTATGTGCACGTGAGAAATGCCTGTACGGGAATACTGCACAATGACAACAGTTGTTTAAGTTCATTCATTTATTCTACAAATGTTTGCTGAGTACCTACTATGCGCCAGGCACTTGGGATACAGAAAGGAATCAAACGGCCAAACACACCTCCCCTCATAGACCTGTCATTCCAGCAGAGAGAGGTAGACAACGAGCAGAAAACAGAACAAATATGTTAGGAGTTGATAAGTGAGTGGTATGGAAAAACTGAAGCAAGGTGAGAGAGGCTGGCAGTGCTGGGTGAGGGGCAGGGCTAAATAGGTTGGTCATAGGCCTCACTGAGAAGGTGATTTTTTTTTAATAGGTTTTTTTCTGCTTTTTTTAAGATTGGCACCTGAGCTAACATCTGTTGCCAATCTTTTTTTTTGTTTTTCCTCTCTTTAAATGAGTGGCCATTAATTCGGATGAGAAAGCTGGGTAGAGTAGGTCTGGGGTTGGGGGAAGGAACTTATTGGTAGACCTGTTATATTTGAGTGTAGTAGCAACATAGATTTTGTTTTAACAATGATCCCAATATTATGATGACATCTTCCTAAATAAAAACATCATTTCAAGACTCCTAACCCAGCAACTACTACATTCCCAGGACCGAAAACAGGCAAGTTAGTCGCAGCTAGGAATCTGGAGACACCACGTGGATAAACAAGCCAGAAAACTGGAGCCTAGGTTCCAGTTTTCAAAAGGGGTTAAAAACGGAGGCCGCAAATCTGTCTACAGTCCTGGCAAGACTCTAGAATATGTCATTAAATGGATGACACCTGAACTCCCCAAATTCGAAGTAGCTCTTCTTGGATTCAGCTTGAAATCGAGAGCAAGCCGGAGGAACATCGTTAAGAAAAGCGACCAGGGCCACTCCGGCGCTCGGTCGCGCGGGGCTCGAAGGGGCGGAGGCCGCCTGGGCGCTCCCGTCCGGCCGCTCCGGCTTCGCGGCCACACCGCCCAGCCGCTCAGGGGCGGCGCGCGGGCCGAGCGCGGGGATTACTTCCGTAAAGCGCTCGCACGGCGCGCGAGCCGCGAAGGGCCGTCCTGGGCCGCAGCACGCATTCTGGGAGCACTCGCACCCTCTTCCTTCTCTTTTCACGCCCGAGGAAGGCCCTGCCGCAGCGAGAACAAGTAACACAGCCTTCCCGGGGTACCTCTGCACAGCTCCCCGCGCTGCCGGCTTCCCGCAGGAGGACCAGCGCCCGCTCCAGAACCGGGTCCCGCGGGCGGTTCCTAGCCCCTCGGAGCGAGGGGAGGGGCCGAGGCTGCGGCGCGCAGGCCACGCCCCACGCCCGCGGGCCCCGCCCCCGCGCCCCCGGCCGGCGGCCGAGGCGTTATGACGCATGCGCCCTTCTTCCGCGCGGCTCGACGTGACGCGCGCTCCCGCTCAGCCGCAGTCTGCCCCGCCCCTTCTTGCACGGCCGCTCGTCTCGCCCCCAGCTCCGTTCTCACCCAGACCCGGCCCTGCCCACACCTCGTCTCCAGTCCTGTGAACAGTGGCTGCAGAACAACCTCGAGCCCTGCAGACCCACGTCCCATGCTCCCGTGGTGGCGGCGGTGATGGGCGGGGGAGTGGGGAAGAAGAATAAGCGGGATGGGGGGGCGGCAGTTGCCGCGGGCTCACTTCCGGAGGACGGGCGGAAGTGGCTGTGGTGGGTGGTGGGGGGGGAGAGGAGCGCGAGGGGAGGGCCGGGCCGCCGGGGGTCGAGGGGGTGGGGCCTGGGCCGGCCTTGGGGCCCCGGCCTCGGGCCTGCGCTCCGACAGGGGGCGGGCCGCGGCTCCCTGCCGACGCGGGGCGGGCGGGATGCAGGTAACGGCCCCGCGCAGATAGGGCCGGGGTCGTTCGGGCCGCCGAGGGGTGGGGGCCCGAGTCTAGAGAGGCTCGCGGCGTCCCCGCTTCGCCTGTGAACTCTGAGCGCGGGTTCGGAGGAGAAGGGTGGGAGGAGTTAAATTCTTGGCGGGGGGGGGGGGGTAACGCCACGCCCCTACAGGAAGGAAGGCTGTGTGTGTGTTTAGGAATAAATTTAGAAGGGAGGAGGCGACGGGGTGGGCTCCCGGACTGAGAAATTGGAACATTGGGGCTGTTGCTGGCAGGACTTGGGCCTCTGACATTCCAGGAGAGTGCTCTCGGGAGTGGCCCCAGGAAGGAGTTTGACAGATTGGGAATTACGTCTCTGGCAGTTTGGGAAGCAGAGTGGGAGGTGAGAGTGAGGGGAAGGGAGCAAAGGATGCCTGTGAAAGGTGCCAGCATCTAGGTCTGGAATGGATTTAGTTGAGTCGGGGAGAGCTGACCAACACCCTAAGAAGCTTGGGAAATGTAGGGCGATTAGTGTGTGGCACTAATAAGAGGAGAACAGGAGGAGGATGTTCCTTTCTGTATTTCTTAGAAGACAGTCTCCACTCACCATCAGTGCTTTTGGTTACTTTTCTTAGCGAGAATGGGTGCTATCCTTCCTTTATCCTGAGCCATATATATGTGTACAGATTGATGAGGTGACTGTTTTGGGGTGCAGTATGTGAGTGAAGTAGGTACTTTGTATAATCTTTGGAGTGTTTAAGGAAGAGTTTTTGATGATAAAGCAGAGTAAAGGAATCTAATTTAGGTAAGGAGTTTTAAGAATCCATTTGGGTGATAGATTAGAGAGTGTCATAATGTTTAAATGTTCCGTAGATTGATACAGAAATCAGCCTCCTGGGCCATGCAGGTTCTAAGGCCTGTTTCTTCTCATGAGCCCCAGCAGAAGACGGATGGACCATTCCTCACAGTGGATGACTTCCCTTCCCTGAGCAGGAGATGGGATAGTGCCTGGGATCTGCCCATCGTCAGACTCTGGGCTTAATAAGCCAGCTGAATGAAGGGATGTAACAGACCCTTGGGAGGGACACTGAAGCCTGCAGTGGGGGGGGAGGGGCCTGGACATACCCCTTCCCCCCCAGACTCCTCCCCCTCAGAGTCCACTCAGCCATGGACTTTGGACCCGGATAAGAGGAAAGAAGCTGTACTTTGTTTGGTGTATCCGATTTGGAATTCTCAGTTTCAGAAATGGAGTTCTGGATGGACGTTTGATGGTCTCCAGGGGAGCAGCTGAGAGAAGAGAAGAAAGGTAAGGCTCCTGCTTCATTTCCTGCTTGGTGTCTTTCTGCTCCTGTGCAGAGTGCTGAGTGGGGCAATTCTGGGGACACTGCCATTCAGGAAGTCCAGTGATGTGAACCTTTCCCCCGATGGGTACACATGAAGCTTCACCTCTCCTTCACTGTCGGGGTGCAGCCTTGTTCCCAGGCAGGAGGAGTGCCTTGTACGGGGTTTTGAGTACTGGCAATGGTGAGGTTAGGCCAAGGAGAACTTGAAAAGAATTTAGGCCTCTGAAGGAAGGTTGGATTAGATTACCTGTAAGGGCGTCTCCAACACGGAGATAATAGGATTCCACATCAGTTTGGGCTGAATAAGACTCTGGAATGGATTACCCAGGCAGAGGCAGGCTGCTGTTTGGGGGAGCTAAGTGAATAGAACTGCCTTGCTGGGGGGAGGGTGGAGGCAGTGAGAGACGGTCTGGATAACCTCCTAAATTCTCTCCCCTCCGCCTCCCCGTTAGGCCATGAAGGCTCACTGAAAGAGCAGAGGAACAGAACACAGGCTTGGGGATCAGGATTTGTGTTTACCTCTGGCTTTCCTAGTCCATGTGCAGCCCTAGATATGTCGGTTAAGTTCTGTGGTGTTCTCTTCCCCTGCAAAATGGGGATAACTAACTTTCCAGGTCCCTCACAGGTTGCTACAAGGAGCAAATGAATTGAAAGATTTTGAAAAGTCTCCAGGGCCACGTAACAGTAACATCGACATTGCTTGATAGGTTTGTATAATTGTTATCAAGAGAAAAGCTCTGAATTAGGAGTTCTGTTCTTTTATTGAATTAGTGTGCTGGCTAAAGCCTTAGATGTCCTTAATTGAAAGCCTGCCCCGAATTTGTCTCATCCTGTTCCTGTTAAACTATACCTGGGGTTATCAATTGTGGAAATGGTGCATGGGGTCCAAGGAGAACAGACCGAGGGATTCTGGCCCTCAGGGCTCTCCAGTCAGCGTGGCTAAGTGTGCCTTGTTGGGGTAGCAGATTAAAGAGGGATGGAGGAAAATTTAAGTTTCAGAGGCCAAGTGTCTGACCCCTGGGAGGTGGAGCTGCATTTCTTGGAGTGAGCACTGGGCCTTTCCTTCCTGTGCCACGTGCTAGTCTTCTCTTCTGTTCTTTAAAATGAATTTTTTCAGACTGCCATCTCTTAGCCCTTCATATTTTCGCAGGCTCTGTTCCCACTTAAAGCAGACCTGTGCATGGTTACCTCCTGCCCGCTCCTTCCTTGAACTCTAGTTTACCTATGCCAAGATGCCTGCTTTTCTCAGTGACAACAAACAGTGGAGAGAGCTGCTGGAAATTTTGATAGTGGGCTGTGGCAGCCTGAGTGAGGGGCAGGAAACTTGGCTTCTAGCATCTCTTTGCCTCCCACTAGCTGTGTAACACCTGGGTCTCACATTCATTGGGGGCTGGCAACAAGAACTAAGATCATTTGCAAGCTGAAAATCATGTATGTATGACTTAGTTTCTTTCTTTTTTCCCCCTTCTTCCTTCCTTGCCTGAGTCTCCCCCGTGTCCTGAGGGCTGGGCTGGCAGGCTTAGGTGAAGTCACTGGCCCTGAGCTGTTCCTTCTCTGGTCTAATGCATGGGGCAGCCCCTTTAAGGTCAGGCTTCTATTTTAGGAGGTCCGGATTTTAGGTTGGGCATGTCACCTCCCCCAGCATCACCCAGCAAATTCTTTTTGCCAGTCTGCTTAGGCACTGGGATCATAGTGATCCCTCTGGAATGTGTGGTCCCAGGATGCCTCTGCAGCCTTCATCCTACCTCGGAGGCCTGTGAGTGCTTCGAGGCATTTGAAGTACCACACAGTTGTGTTGTATAGTGCTTACGTTATGTGAAGTGTCCAGGCTGTTTGTGTCTGTTTTCCATCACCACATTGTTGTCAGGAAGACAGAGCAGGATTATTTCCATAGTTTGATATATGAGGGGAAGCTACAGAAGCCCTGAGCAGAAAGGGCTTGCCTAGGTGTGGAGTGGCAGATGCTGTGATCACCTGCCCTGGGCTGTGCTGCTTCTGTAGCATCTGACCTGACAAGGGCCTTCTGGATTCTGCAGCAAACCTCCAGGGAGGGGAACTCGGTGCCCTGTCAGACAGCCTTCTGGTAAGACATTTCCTCCTTAAATTGAGCTGGAATTCCTCTCCCATGTCATTTCCACTGAAAGCACTAGTTTTGCCCTCTGCCTGACCCACAAGACAGTCCTCTCAAGACAGCTGTCAGCCTTCCCACAGGGGCACCTTCTTAGAAGGGCACTAGGATGCTTGGGCCACTGATCCAGGACCAGTGATAGACTTAAACAAACATTGTGTGTGTTTTAACTGAATTTATTTATACCCTTCTTTTCCCAAAAGGAATTGTAGGTGGCTAACCAAAAGTTCCATTTCACAAGCCTTGCTTAGTGATTTATTGTGTTAATCGTGTCTGTCTTCTTTGATCTTGATGAGCTGAGTTTCTGGGTCTTCATGGGGAGTGGGGATGTTGGGAGGAGGGGAAAGGGGAAAATAGAGACAACATTGATTTAAAACTTTTCTTTTACTTCTACTGATGGTTTCAAGCCAAGATCTGTCTTAAGTTCTTTCCAAATTGCAAAAAATTTCAGGGTATCTTGGGCATGGTTTATGGGAGGCCAGTTTCCTGGATCAATTTTCATTGCTTCTCCTTATCTCTTCAGTTCTCTTCTGGAGGTGGTAGGGGTGGGCAGGATACACTATTGCCCCTTCTAATTCTCTCTTATTCTATGACCAGATCTTCCTCTTTCTTCCATCTTCACATAATCCAATCTCAGTTTCATCCCCAGAATCCAGGCACCTGGCTCCTTGTTTCTTCTGCCTTTCTTCTTCTGTAACCCTTCCATCAAGAGCCCAGGGCCTCTTTTCCCAGATCATCACCCTGGCACTCATCCCTCTGGCTTCTTGACTCTCAGACCAAATGTTTTCTCTTGCGTCCATCCAAGAATTCAGTCCATCCTGATTCTCTAAGCAGGTCCTTTCTTCTTGAGACAGTCATTTTGTAGTCTGGGAATTTCTACTCTTAGATCTTCCTGTGAGCCTTGGAATCTAAACAAAGGACTGTGGTGATGGGGTGTGAGTTATGGTGCACAGGGAGTCCCCCCGGTCCTGTTCCCCATTAAACTGTCCTAGATGGAGAAAGAGTATTGTTAGAGTTGGGATCTGACATCTCATCAACCCATGTCATGGGCTTCCCACCTTTCAGCATCCCACTCTGCCCTTTGTCCTGGAGAGTGATTTTAGCTTCTGATATCTTGGATCTACAAACTAATGTTTCCCAACTTTTTACACTTTTAGGAAACTTTTATTATTTTCCCTCTTGCCTTGACAATGGAGTGTGAGTGTGTAGGCCTCCCATGTTCCTGTCATGAGGAAAAACTTAGAGAAGGGGCAGAGGTACAGAGACACTGGCCCCTGGCTGGCACGAGTGTGGGCTCGCATCTCCTGCCATGGTCCACACAATCAGCTAAGCTGGAGGCCTTGGACACACAGACACCAGCCTCACTGATGTGTCAGCTCTTCTCTCACTCTGCTCCTTCAGGGGTAGGCTCCAACTGCTTCTACCAAGATTTCCCCCCTGCCCCACTGTGCGCCGGTCTGCTGGACGCAAACAGCTTAAGTGCACTTGCACTCAAGGGTGCATAAGGGGAGGGAATGAGTGCTAGCTTTGGAGGCAAGAATGGCTGGGTCTAAAACCTGGCCTTGCCCCCCCAGTAGGTCTTCTTACCTTCAGCAAGTTGGCACCTACCCTGAGCCTCAGACTCATCTGTAGAACAGGATGATAATGCATACTCTGTAGAGCTGCTAGGAGTGTTAAAGGAGAGGCTGAGGGAGGGGTCTGGCTTGTGGAAGCCTCTGCAATTTTTAGTGCCTAATCTCCGTCCAGGGGCCTTTAGGGCGTGCCCTGCCTTTTGTTTCTCTAGAACCCTTCAGGGAGAAACAAGCTAGCAAAGTCAGTCGGTAACCTCACACCGCAAAGTTCCCGCCTGCTCTGTGCTCTGAAACCCAGGAGGGAAGTGGAGGTGGGAACAGTGTGGTGCCAGTAGAGTGTTCTGATCACATGGGAGGCCAGGCTCTGGGCTCAGTCCTTCCCCAGAAAGTTAGCTGCATCAGCAGCCAGCAGGTCTCAGCTTCCCACCCTCAGTTCTTAGGGTCGGATCCAGACATCTAGGCTCTTCCAGCGTGCTTCCCCCATCCCCTTTCACCGGGCTATCACAAAATCCTGTGACTGAGTCTTTTCCTCCTTGGGTGTGGTGGTTCTACCCTGGGGACAGGTCTGTCTGTCTCTCTGCTCTTTTACTCAGAAGTAACAGCTCTCATTCCCCACCTACAAAGGAAAAAACAAAGAAAGAAAGAAAAGCAGCTGGCCCTGCCCGCCTTTGGCGCAGGTGTTTCCTCCGTGACCGCTCTTTCGGCACCCGGTTCCGGTTCTCGCATCCCTGCGCCGCGCGCCCCTCCGCCGCCCCGGATCCTCCTTCCCGGAAGCTAACGTCTGGCGGCTTGTTGGGGCAGGTCCCAGACCCTTGGCCTTGGGCTTGGTGAACGACTACACGGGGTGTCCTGCGTACCTCTCAGGCAGGTCTCCGCCCCCTGCCCCCAAACTCCTTGAGGCTCTTGGCGCCGGGGCTGGGGAGGAGGAGACGCTGAGAGAAGTCTGGACTGAAGGGGGTGGAGGGCGTGGGTCGCGTCAGGTATCGACCCAGAGACTTGCGATTGGAAGCCGGAAAGGACCCACTGGTAACAGCTGCCTCCACAGCGCCTCCCAAAGTTGGGGACCCCGGAAAACTTGGGTTGCCCCCACGGCGGGTCACTGCCTAGCGTCGGGGGAGGAGGCGGGCCCGGGAAGAAGGGGCGGGGCGACGCCCCTGGCCGCCCCGCCTGCCCCGGGGACGGGGACGGGCCACGTTGTCTGCCGGCTGCTGCCCGGCGCGCCTCGGGAAGGGCCGGCCAGGCGGAAGGCGCCGGGGACGCGCGAGCACGGGCTGGCCCCGCGGCCCGGGCAGGGCGGCCCGGGTCTGAGCCGGGAAGTTGGGAAGGCCTGGTGAGTAGGGCCGGGGGCGCCTGCGTTCGGCCGCTCTGGGGCTCGTGCCGGGAGGGGACGGAGCCCGGCCGAGGGAGGCCCTGCGGGAGCGGAAGGGGTGCTCTGGGTGCGTGGGGCCCGGCTCGAGAAGCTGCCCATTTCCGAGCCTCTCGTGTCCCGCGAAAGCCCCGCGCCCGTGAGCCGAGCGACAGGGCCCAGGCGCCTCGGCCGGCCGCGCGCCCCCTCCCGAGCTGTGAAGTGGGAACTCTCCGTTCCGCTTTCGGAATCCCAGGCCTCCAGCTGTTGGAGGGAGGGCGGGCTCTGCGGGCAGGGGAGGCGGTGGGGAAACTCGGCCGCAGGGCGGACGTGGGAGCGGGGCCGGGAGGAGCTGGGGTCGCTGGAGGGGGTATGGGGAGCGGGAGTGGGGGCTGGCCTTTCCCAAACCCCGTCCCAGCGTCCTTTCCACAAGTTACTAGGGCTTCTTTCTCCTCAGCTGTAAGGAAGAATAGATTCAGTATGGAGAAATACAAGTTAGCAAGAAAACTTTTCCCACCTGTTTGCTTACGTGTGTGGAGTACGGGCTCCTGTGACGTGTGAGGGCCCCGTCTTAGAAACTGGAGCAGAGGCACTGTGGCCACCTGGTGTGCCTCTCCACAGAACAGTGAGCCTGGGGGTGGGGCTCCACCTTAGTTAACCCTTGCTCTTGTGGTGTGTTTAGTCTTTGCTTTAGAACATCACTGGCTGAGATGTCCAGCTTGCTTTTCCTTTATAATATGAAAAGTCCTTTATAATACTTTTCAGACCACGTAGCCTTTTCTCTTAGAAGCTCCTGTCTTGGGGATGTGCCTCCCATCGGGTATCACTGCTGCCTGACTCTTCCATTGAGATCTCCTGGATCCCCACTTCTGTGTCCCTTTTTCACTTTAGAAAGCATTGTAGTATGTCTAACCCCCAGTGGCATGTGTGGCAGGTTAACTTATTTCCTCTTTGGGACATTGTCACTATCCTCTTTATCATTAGGGACCAGGGACTTTGGAGATGATCCTAATCAACCTTCTCATTGTTCAGATAAGGGAACCGAGGCACAGGTGGGTCAAGTGACTTGTCGAAGGTTACCTGGTTTGCTGGTACTGGATTGCCTGAATCGCAGGGCCTTCATGCTTTTTGCTACCCTAACGCCGCAGGCCGTACTTCCCCTTCGCCTCTTCTTTTCTAGGGTGAATAACCTACATCCTTTCCCTCCTAGGTTTTATTCTCTAAGCCCTTGAATTATTTAGTGTATCTTCTCTGACTCCCTTTCAGTTCTTCCATCCTTCTGAAATTATGGAGCCTGGTATATGAAACTAGTCTAGCAGAAGCCTAATGATGAGCGAGAAAGTAATTGTTACATCTCCATTATTTATGGTGTATTCTAACCTTCTGGATTTTTTAGGCAGTGCTTTTTTATATACTAAGCAAGACAGGGGAAAAGTCTGTCAATATTCCTTCAACTCCCATATTTCATTTTAAAGCTAAATATGACTTCTTCATTATTGATCACTATGGGAAGTTGATTATTTGGTGTTGTCTTACTGTTTAAGAAACATTTTTGGCAGAGAGGGGGAACTGGTTGGAGAATACCATGGAATCAGAGTGTTAGAAAGGGATCTCACAGCTCCTAGGCAGTCCTTCACATGAAGAAACTGAGACCATAGGGATTGGTGAGACCTGCCCAGAGCCTCCTGGGTTTTGGCTGAGGGTTTTATATACTGAAAAGTCTCACTCCTGATCTCCTGCCACCATGCAGATGTCTTTGTGCTTAGTGGTCTGGACCAGCTGTGTCACTTCCCTAAAGGAGTTGTGAAAACTCTAGCAAATTAAAACCAGTTTGAGCCTGTGCCTTGCTGGCAAATATTAATAACAGAACATCAGGGACTCAAGTCAGAGTTAAGGACTGTTTTATTTTAGAAAAGGAAGGTGTGGCAGATTATATTTTCCCAAGATGGCCACACCCGTAAGTATCCCATACCACATGTTGTTACAGTTGGACACTGTCCTCCTTCCACGCTGTGGTGAGGTTTGTGGTTGGGATTTCTGAGTCCCCTGACTTGTAAGGCAGAAGTGATCCAACGCTGAATGGTGAGAACGATCCAGCTTGTTTGCTTTCTTGGGACACTCACCTTTGGAAGCCAGCCATCATTTTCAGAAGAAGCCCGGGCCAGGTGGAGAAGCCACATGGAGGTGTTCCAGCCAGTACTCCAGCTAATGTCTCAGCTAATGCCAATAGCAACCTGCAGACATATGAGAGAATAGCCCTTTAGGGGAGTCCAACCCCCAGCTTTCAAGTCTTCCAGCTGGGGTCCCAGACATCATGGAGCAGACACATGTCATCCCTTCTGTGCCCTACTGTCCAAATTCCTGACCCATAGAAACTGTGAAAGGGAATAGTGATTGCTATTGTTTTAAGCCGCTAAATGTTTTCATTTCTTCAGCAGTAAATATCTAATTAGGAAAAGGATGTGAGTAGAGGCAGGCCCTCAGAATTGGGACTTGGTGGGACCTGAGCACAGAGGGCAGGAAGAACTCTTGCCCTCCTTGTCAAGGCCGCTTAGAGTCTGTTTTACTCACTGTTTCAGGAACTTATTGCGGCATAACAAATCAGCCTAAAACTCAGTGGCTTCAAACAACAGAATCATCTTATTTCTGTCTCAGCCGTGTGGTTCTTGCTTGTGGTCTTGCATGCAGTTGCAGTCAGATGTGGCTGGGCTGGGATTATCTGGAAGGCTTCCTCCCATGTCGAGTCGCTGATTCTGGCTGCCAGCTGCAATACCTATAGGCATCCTGCCACGTGGCCTGGGCTTCCTCTTAGTTTGGTGGCCAGATACCAAGAGCAGGCATCTCAGGAGCACTAGGTGGAAAGTATTGCCTTTCATGAGCTAGTCTCCTGAGTCACATAGCATCACTTCCTCTGTAGTCACAGATCAAAAAGAGGGATATAGACCCCACTCTGGAGGGAGGAGTCGTCTCTTTGTAAGAAGAGCACATGGGATGGAATGTGTGGTGGTCATCTTTGGAAAATGTAATCCTTTACTCTGTGCTGGTTTGGTCGTCTTTTTCCTTGATGTAGTTAATAATGCAAGCAGTCCTCCACCTAGCCACTTGAACTTCATAACGTGCCAAGCGCTGTGATAGGCTTAGAGGTCATAGAGTCTTTTTCCTAAAGAGTAAGGTGAGAGCCAGGGAAGGCATGGCTACAGAGTCTCTTACAGCATGGAAGAGAAAGACAGGAGGTGTAGAGAGAGTGCAGTGGGAGTGTAGTTGTGGGAAGGCCTAGCTCTGCTTGGGATGTTACAGGAAGACTCACCTGAACTGGGCTCTAGAGGATGTGAGAGTGCTTGCAAGTGGGGCTGTGGATACTATTTCAGGATAAAGGACCACCCAGAGTAAAGACAGACAGCAGGGTACAAGTGTACTTATTGGGAAACAAGTAGGCTGCGGAGGCTAGAGTATGGAGTTCCTGGGATTAGGTTGGAGGTGAGGTTGAAAGAGGATGTTTGAGTCACTTTTTTGTGAAGGCCCTGTGTATTATAATAAAAAGTTTGAGTTTTATTCTGTGGGCAGTGGCAGCCTCTGATGGTTTTTAAGGCAGGTTAATGTTGTGACCAGGCGTGTACTTCATGAAGAATACTCTGTTGTCTTTGGGAAGGTTGTTTGGAGGGAATTAAGATTAGCAATATGTAGACCAACTGAGAAGCTACATCAAGAGTTCAGGCTTAAAACGATATTTCATAATGAGGAAAGAGTTCAGATTACAGGATTTGGGGGCTTGAAATGGGACGACGGCAGTGAATGAGCATCTGTCTCTTCCATTGTTGTAATTCTTGGGGCTGGATGTATTATAGAATTTAGAATTTTTTGGATTTTAAAAAGATGATCTGGTGCATTTACAATGTAGTATGAGATCTGGAGCAGCACACTGTAATCCGACGTGTTTATTTCCATAGCAAAATATGTGAATAGTCACACTAAGTGGGATAAATAAAGACTATAAATAGCCTAACATTAAATCAGATCAGATTTTGCCAAATGAGATTAGGTCGGGTTTTATTGCCAAATGAGTGTAGAAAACTACTGTTTTTTTCAGTACTTTTTGGACTTGAGAATTGCAGTTAAGGGGTTGTGGGCGTGTGGCATCCACACATAAGCTAGTTTTTAGGTCATAGGCAAGTCTCCTGAATGTTCAGGATCCTGGCATAGCAACTTGGCAGTGCTGGAGGAGCTGATCACCATCCTCCAGTAGCTTTTAGCCAACGGGATTTGACAGATGTCCACGAGGAAGTTGCGCTGGTGCTGCTGGTTGTGAAGGGGAGGTGGACCTCACGTGGTCCAAAGGCTTCAGGGAAGATGTCCTGGCAGAGACATGAGTCAGAGTATACCAGGTGAAGAAGACAGAGAGGACCAGACCAGGCATACAGGCACATGCAAAGGCCCTGAGATGGGCTTGGGTATTTGGGGCCTGGAAGGAAGCTAGAGTGAAGCAAAGACAGCCAGCGAGAGAGAGGACAAACAAGTGACTGGCCGGCATTTATGATGTCACGTGCTGGGCACTGTTCTAAACAGTGATGTGCATTATCTCACCCAATCCTCACAGCAACTCAATGGGGTATTCTATTATGGTTTCCCTCTTAGAGGTAAGAAAATTGAGTCTCAGAGATGTGAAAAAGCTGGGGGTGATGCCAAGCATTGCCCTCAGGCTGTCTTGCTTGCCCTTGTTGCTGCCTTACCCTCCCAATGGTGGGACTCAGAGCAGTGCTCCCTGGAGGAGCGGGTGGGCTCTGCTGGCCAAAAGCTGGCCTTCTGGGTCAGGCACAGCCAGCTGCTGGAGGGTGCATGCACTTGTGTATGGGCACACGTCACTAACTTGCAGACAGAGTGGAGGATCTTGCTTTGGAGAATATTTGGAGAAGCAGTAGGAAACCAACCACCCTGGGACTCTGGATGAGTCTGTGGAGAAGCGATGGGGCCTGGGAATAGGGGTGTTAAATTTTCTTATGGCAAAAGGAGTAAGTTCTGTTTGCGAACCTGAGGGCTGTGGGCTGGAGAATAAGGCCCTGAGTGCTAAGGTGGAGGCCTCTCAGGACTGGGGCAGCAGTTTCCAGCCATCATAGATGTTTACAGACTTAGTAAGATCTGCGCAGCTTAGAAGGGGCAGCAAGCGGGGGAGGTCTTCTAGGCCTTGGGTAGTGGGTGTAGGCTACCTAATTCTAACGTCTGGAGCACAGTGAAGGCTTTCACAAGTCATCTGATAGGTAGCAGAGATATGGTCCCTTGGGTTTTTGCCACCAGTCTGAGAGCTTGCTGGTCTGAGGAGGCTCATTGGTAAGTCAGAGACAGGCCTGCTCCTCCAGCCCTGAGGCCAGCACTTCAACTCATGGAGTTCAGTCTCTTCTCCTTCCTAGCCTCTTTACCTAAAGACTTTTTCCTGCCCAGTCAGTTAGGAGACAGGAAGATGGGGGATAGGGAACCCCAGCCAGGAGATTGGAAGGAAGCTCCTAACATTGACAAGTCTCGGGGGGGAGTGAAGGAGAACCTGGAGATCTGTGTCTCTCTCCTAGGAAACCCTGATTGGTATATGGGTGCTGGTAAACTGGAATTTTAATGACACAGTAAAACGGAAACAGACTTGAGGTTTCTGAGAAGACTGATCTTGCGGAGTTGTGGGGGTGGATGGTTTCTAGGAGGTAGATACGCAGTGGTGGTACTGGCGGGGGCTGGGGGATCTCGCCACGAGGGAGGCAGAACCCAGATTCCTTTAGAGGCCCTTCAGGATTAGCCCTTTGATACTGGCTACTGGAGAGCCCAGGAGTACAGCGATGACACCTGGGACCTGAGGTTTTGACTAGGATTAGAGAATTGGGCTGTGAGGCAGAGAGGGTAACTGGCAGAGCAGCTGGCATGAGAGGGCACATGCCTGAAGCTTTGGGATATCAAGGAGTGAGACCAGAGGCAGAGGGCCAGGAGAGCCATGTGGACAGGAATGGCAGCTGTCCGGGAATTGGAAGCTGTTGTAGATCTTTTGAAGTGGCAGAGTGAGAAGGCTGGGGGACCATGCTTTTTTCTTGTTGGATGTGTGTCCCAGTCCCTTGCCAGAGCCTGGCAGAGAGCAGGTGTGTGACGCATGCCACGGAGTGATGAGTTCAGGACAAACGGATTGTCCCAGTTGCCCTTACTTGGCCGTATTGATGGATGAAGCTAGTCGGAGCTGTGGGCCATTCCTCATATTTGATTTTTAAGAAACTTTATTTGAAAATAACTTCACACTTATGAAGAAATTGCAAGATAAAAATGGTATAAGGACATTCATACTCACCTTACTCAGGTTCACCTGTTGTTAACATTTTGCTTCATTTTCTCTGTCTCCCATATATAAATATATTTTTGTTCTGAACTACTTGAGAAGTTGCATCTTTATGGCTCTCTACTTCTAATTACTTGAGTGTGTATTACCTAAGAATTGGGGTATTCTTTTACATGGCTACAGTATGGCTATCAGTCAGTCAACACTCATACTTCAGCCTACTGTCTATATTCCAGTGTTGTCATTTGACCCAATAATGTCTTTTTTTTAAGGACAGTTGTATTGAGGAATAATTGACATACAGTCAAGTGCACATATTTAAAATGTACCATTCGACCAGTTTGGACATCTGCATATACCCATGAAACTATCACCACAATCAAGATAATAAACACACCCCCCCTAAACTTTCCTCGTGCCCGTTCGTAGTGCCTGTCACCGCCACCCTCACTGCTCCGTCCTCAGGCGACCACTGATTTGCTTTCTACCACTATAGTTGCTTTGTGTTTTCTGGAGGTTTATATAAGTGGAGTCATAGTGCATGTGCTCTTTTCTTGGTCTTTCACGCCTTGCACAATTATTTTGAGATTCATTCTTGTGTTATGCATATCAGTAGTTTAAGGAATTTTTATTGCTGAATATTCCATTCTACCAGTAAACTATAATTTGTTTATCCATATTCCCCTGTTGATGGGCCTTTCGGTTGTTTCCAGTTTTTGGCAATTCTGAATAAAGCTGCTGTAGACATTGTGTGTAGGTTTTTTTCTGGACATATGTTTTCATTCCTCTTGGATATATATCTAGGAGTGGACTTGCTAAGTCATGTGATGACCTCTGTGTTTAGCATTTTGACAAACTGCTATAAAAGGACATTAGTTCCATACCTCACACCATATACAAAAATTAAAATGAATCATACACCTAAACGTAAAACCTAAAACTATAAAACCTAAAAGAGAAAAACACAGGAAAAGAATCTTTGTCACTTTAAGTTAGGCAAAGATTTCTTAGATACAATGCCAAAAGCATGATCCATAAAAGAAAAAACCCCTGATAGTGGACATCACCAAAATTAAGAACTTCTGTTAACTTACATTGTCAGGAGAACAGGAGGACAAGGTTTTGAATTTTTGCCAGTCTGATGGGTGAAAAGTGTTATCTCAGTATAGTTTTCATTTGCGTTTTTTCTTACTATGGGTGAAGTTGAACATTTTTCATGTGTCTAAGGACCATTTTAGTATCCTTTTTGTGAGTTGCCCCTATCTTTTAGACAAGGATTTTTGGCCTTCTCCCCCCTCAGTTTTTAAAAGTTTCGATTAGGGTATTGGCTCTTTATTTGTGATATATGTTGTAAATATTCTCTCCCAGTTTGTCATTTGTCTTTTGACTTGGTTTATGGTGTTTTTAGTCATGCAAAAGTGTTTTATTTATTATTGCATCTGGGTTTTGATTCATATCTAGAAAGCCTTTGCCTGTACCCAGGTTATAGAGGAATTGACCCATGTTTTTATCTAGCACTTGTATAATTTCAATCTTTATATTTAGATCTCTGATCCACTTGGAGTTATTCTTGTGTACAGATCTAATTTTATTTTTTTTCCAAATAGCTGCATAGTTGTTATAACACTATTAATCAGACCATTTTTTGCCCCAGTATTTCTAGATATTACCTTTATCATTTGTTAGATTTCTTTGTATAGTTGGGTCTATTTCTGGAGTTTAAATTTTATTCCATTGGATGATCTGTTTATTTACATACCAGCACCACCTAGTTTTAATTACAGAGGCTTTGTAATGTGTAGTACTTTAATATATCTGGTAGGACTAGTCTGTCTTCACAGCTTGTTGTATGTTCATTTATTCTTATGAACTTTGGTGTCACTTGTCTAGCTCCATAGAAAAGTATTTCTGTTGAGATTTTTGATGATGCTGAGATGTTCTAATCAAGAACAAGGGCTTTTTAAGTCTTCTTTTGTGTCTTTCAGGAATTATAGTTTTGTTCATATGGGTTTTGAATATTTCTTAAGTCTCTTCCCAAATAGTTTGTCATTTTCATGGCTATTGTAAATAGGGTTTTCTCATCCATTATTTCTTCTAACGCCTTATTATTTGATATGAAGGCAATTGATTTTTTTTTTTTTGGAGGAAGATTAGCCCTGAGCTAACTGCTGCCAATCCTCCTCTTTTTGCTGAGGAAGACTGGCCCCGAGCTAACATCCATGCCCATCGTCCTCTACTTTATATGTGGGAGGCCTACCACAGCATGGCTTTTGCCAAGCAGTGCCATGTCCGCACCTGGGATCTGAACCGGCGAATCCTGGGCCGCTGAGAAGTGGAACGTGTGAACTTAACCACTGCGTCAGCGGGCTGGCCCCCGAAGACAACTGATTTTTGATGTTAATTTTTATATCCTGCTATCTTGCTCAATTCTTTGATTGCTTGTGTTGTTTTTATCATTGATTCTCATAGAGTTTTCCATGCATATTTTCATAGCATCAGCAAATAGAGATCATTTTGCTTCTTTTCCACTTCTGCCTTTGTTGTGTAGTCCATTGCATTGGCTGACCCCTCCAACAGAATGTTACATAGTCGTGTAAATAGTGGGCACTTGGCTTTGCTCCTAACCTTCAAAGGAATGCCTTGGTGCTTCTTTATTAGGTAAGGTGGTGGCTTTAGCTCTGAGGTGTGATATTTGAATTTTTAAGTCAGTAATCTTTGGGCAGTTTGAGTTGAGGAATGGGAGGCAGATTGTCTCACCCCACCTTTCCCCCAAGCTTTGGATAGAAGATGGGAGACGAAATCTGTCAGGTAGGGAAGGGAGGTGGGGTTCCTTTGCTCTCTCCCTTCCACCAGCATCACTCTCTACTTCCCCCTCAAACATATATTGCTTTTCTGAGGACTCATTTTGGAGTACAGGAGCATGTTGTCCTAATCCTATTTTCCTAAGCACGTTGACCTCCCAGATTAGGGGACAGGCGGCACTTTTCTAAGAGAACCCTGAAGTAAACCTCTGGCCTCCCTCCTCCTGCATTTTTTCATCTGTTCCTGGACACCCCGCCCTCCCCCGTCCCCCCGCCCAGTTCCTCCACCCTAGACAGCCCGATGCCTTCGTGATGACAGTTGGTTTTCTCTCTCTTTTCCTCAGGTGCATGGCTGCTGCCTAATCCCAAAACCTAGAGAAACATCCCTAGGACTGTGGGGAGTGAGCCAGGCAAGCCGAGGGCAGCCTCAGCCCCATCCTTGCCTGCCTCCCCTGTGGGGGCCAGGATGCTGAAGAAGCAGTCTGCAGGGCTTGTGCTGTGGGGTGCCATCCTCTTTGTGGCCTGGAATGCCTTGTTGCTCCTCTTCTTCTGGATGCGCCCATCGCCCAGCAGGCTGCCCTCAGATGGCACTCTCGATGATGACCCCACTGGACTTACTCGCAAGGTGATCCACCTGGCACAGGATGTTGAGGTGGAGCTGGAGCGGCAGCGGGGGCTGTTGCAACAGATCAGGGAGCACCATGCTCGGTGGAGCCAGTGGTGGAGGGTACCCACTGTGCCTCCACCTGTCCCGCCACACGTGTCTGTGACCTCACTGCCAGCTGTGATCCCCATCCTGGTTATTGCCTGTGACCGCAGCACTGTCCGGCGTTGCCTGGACAAGCTACTGCACTATCGACCCTCAGCGGAGCACTTCCCCATCATTGTCAGCCAGGACTGTGGACACGAGGAGACAGCCCAGGTCATCGCCTCCTATGGCAGTGCAGTCACTCACATCCGGCAGCCCGACCTGAGCAACATTGCCGTACCACCCGACCACCGCAAGTTCCAGGGCTACTACAAGATCGCAAGGCACTACCGCTGGGCCCTGGGCCAGGTCTTCCACAGATTCAAGTTCCCCGCGGCTGTAGTGGTGGAGGATGATCTAGAGGTGGCGCCAGACTTCTTTGAGTACTTCCAGGCCACGTACCCACTGCTGAGGGCTGACCCCTCCCTCTGGTGTGTGTCTGCCTGGAATGACAATGGCAAGGAGCAGATGGTAGACTCCAGCAAGCCTGAGCTGCTCTACCGCACAGACTTTTTCCCTGGCCTGGGCTGGCTGCTGTTAGCTGAGCTCTGGGCTGAGCTGGAGCCCAAGTGGCCCAAGGCCTTCTGGGATGACTGGATGCGCCGGCCTGAGCAGCGGCAGGGCCGGGCCTGCGTGCGGCCTGAAATCTCCAGAACGATGACCTTTGGCCGCATAGGTGTGAGCCACGGGCAGTTCTTTGACCAGCACCTCAAGTTCATCAAGCTGAACCAGCACTTTGTGCCCTTCACCCAGCTAGACCTGTCCTACCTGCGGCAGGAGGCCTACGACAAGGACTTCCTTGCCCGTGTCTATGGCGCTCCTCTGCTGCAGGTGGAGAAAGTGAGGACCGGTGAGCGGAGTGAGCTGGGGGAGGTGCGGGTCCAGTACACTGGCAGGGACAGCTTCAAGGCCTTTGCCAAGGCCCTGGGAGTCATGGACGACCTCAAGTCCGGCGTCCCGAGGGCCGGCTACCGGGGCATTGTCAGCTTCCTGTTCCGGGGACGCCGAGTTCACCTGGCCCCCCCGCAGACCTGGGAGGGCTATGATCCTAGCTGGAATTAGCAGCACCTGCCTTTCCCTCCTGGGCCTCTTTGCTGTGTCATGGACTGAGGCAGGACTGCAGTCCCTGGCTGCATCGTCCTCACTGTGTTTCTCTCTTGGGTCCATTTATCTTCTTTATTTTTTTTTTCTTTTTTCGAATGGCATTCGAGTGCACAGATGATAAGGTGAGAGTTATTCTCCCGTTTTCAAGGGGGTCAAATCAGGGGAACCTTTCTGAGGTATGACTGGAGGTATTAAGCTTGTAGCGTCCAGGTTCCAGGTTTTCTTCTAGGACATCTCCAGGGAGGTTGTCAACTTAAGCTCTCTTGACCAGGCCTCTTTTTCCTATCCTGGCTCTTCCAGCCAGGGTATGAGCCCTCTTCCTGTACCTGACCCCTTCCCCTAGTTGGAGGGGGGCTGGGTTATATGAGAAGGGGACGTATTTCTGGCCAAAATGACACTAACCAAAGGAGTTTCATCATCAGGGTCCGGGTGGAGCTGTTAGGTTGTCAGGGTTTACTGCCTTCCTCCTGTTTCTCTTCTTCCCCCCTCCTTATTCCCGACTCCTCTTAGCTCTTTTTTCCCTGCATTCTAGCAATTCGTGATTCTAAGATGAAAAGTTGAAGGGAAGAAGCAAGACCTCTCCTCAGCTCATCCCCGGCAGGGGGACGAAAGCCTTGGTGTGCTGGGGCACACCTCCCTCATCCTGCCACAAAGAAACAGACTTTGTCTCTGGGTTTCATCCTTTCTAAAACCGATCCCTTCCCTGTCACTCTAGGAGGGTTCGTGCTGGCCTGGGGGAAGAGACATTAGCTCCTTGTTCCCCTTTTCCCCAGGGGTTTGGTGCACAGGCTCCTCCCTGAGGCCCGTGGCTTCTGGTAGCCCTGTCAGTGTGAGGTAGAACAGTCAAGACAGGATGGCCCTGGCCTCCCTCCCCTCTCCCCCAAGCATTCCCATGTCCGCTCAGATGAGGATGCAGGTGGCAGGTTGGAGAGCAATGTGTGTTTTTTTTCTTTTCTTGCCTGACCTCAGTTCATGGGAGAAAGTTGAAGCTACAGAATTATTTTCAAAAATAAAGGCTGAATTATCTGAAAAACATTGTGTGTGTGTGTGTGTGTGTGTGTGTATGTGTCCTGGAGAAGGAGGAAAGGGTGGAAAAGGAGGCAAAGGGTGGGAGAAGAAAGGAAAAGAAGGGAGAACAAGGACTAAGGGGAAAGACTGGACAGGTGGGAGGAAGTGGGTCAGTTGAAGGAAGGGAAGCAGAGGACTGGAAGAGGAGAGCGTGGATAAGGAGAGCTGAGGAGGGGCTGGGGGCATGAGAGCAAGGCCAGGCTTGCAGGTGGAGAGGGCCAAGCCCACACTCTGCTACTGCTAATCTCTAGAGGTGGGCTGTGGGGCCGGCAGTGGGCTTGGGCTTGTGAGCCCAAAGGCCTGGTCAGAGAGAGAATGGAGGAATCCCTCATGGAGGGTGCTGTGTGCGGGCTTCTCCCTGCTTGCTTAGGCAGCACTCCTGGGCATCCTCCATGACCTGCCCCTGAGCTCCAGGATGAGAGCAGTGGACTTAGAGCCCTGACTGTGACCCTGTGGGAACGTGTTTTGCTCTTCCACCCAGAACATGCACACGCAACTGGCAGGTGCTTCCTGAGCCTATACCCGTGTCGTGTGTAATGCATTCTGAGAGTTTCTGTTCTCCGCTAATTTTTTTTTAGTGGGCCTTGTGACCCACCTTCTTGATTTCGTTAGTGGGTTTCAAAGCCCTGGGCTAGGTGACTGTTGACAAACCATTTCGGAGCTTCACATCAGATGGGTGACCTGTGGAGAGGGGTCACCTGGTCACTGAAGGAGCAGCTCCGGCCTCCTTTCTGGGCTCAGAAATCCCAAGTGTGCTATGGGAACCAGTGTCAGACATTCATTTTAACCTTCTAGATTTTTGTGGAGTTCGTTTTGTCTTCCCACGTGCTCGCAGGTGGACTGTGTAATCCTGTTGGGGACTGGGGAGATGGTCATTGTCCAGGATTCGCCGTTGGTGGAGAAGCCCAGTGAGGCACTGGATTGACCTGACACCTTTGGTCTGGAAGACTTGGCTGCCAGACTCCGTATTCTTAGCACTGAATCTCTCTAACAGTTGCTTACCAAGTGCATTGTTCTGAGTACTCCACATTAATATTGACAATTTTAATCCTCAAAGCAATCATGGGTGGTAAGTATTGCTCCTCTTTTCTAGGTGAGGAAACGGGCACATGGAGGTCACACACCTGGTTGGGGTGGAGCCGGGATTTGAATGGGACCCATGGTGTTCACCACCACCCAATGCTGGACATCCCTGTCTATCCTTTACTGCTTCCCTCCAGGGCTGCCTCCTCAGCCTCCGCTGTACTCTGGTCTCCCCTCCCTCAGGCCCCAGGGTGGTGAGTGGGGCTGGACTTACAGGTCAAGCAGCTGGTGGTTTGCCCAGGGTGGTGAGCTGGGCGGGGGCAGAGATTGCAGAGGAGGAGTCACTCTTAGAAGATGCAGGGGGGCGGGCTCCATGGTGGAGTGGTTAGGTTCACAGGCTCCGCTGCAGCGGCCCAGGGTTCACGTCCTGGGCGCGGACATGGCACTGCTCATCAGGCCACATTGAAGTGGCGTCCCACATTCCACAAGTGAAAGGACCTGCAACTGAGATATACAACTATGTACCGAGGTTGGAGGGGAGTTAGGTAGATAAAGCAGGGAAAAAAAAAAAAAGGTTGGCAACAGTTGTTAACCCAGGTGCCAATCTTTAAAAAAAACAAAAAAGATGCAGGCTGGTTTCTCAGGTTTCTCCTGAAGCGAGGAGCACTTCCAAGGGGTCTCCTGGTGTCCTATTTCTGTTCCTTTTGATGTTCATCCCTAGTGAGGCCACATTTACCACGTCAAGGCATCCTCAGGTATGGTTCATGTGCGCATGGCTGCTGTTCTTAGGAACCATGATCCTCCTGTGGATAACAAAGCAAGTGGAAATACCAAATGGCAAAAAAAAAAACATGTCATTACGTACTGCAGAATTCTCACCTTGAGTTGGGAGATTTAAAGATAATTCCAAAGAGCTCACCCCGCTCATTGTGGTTCTCATGCCAGGTGAGCCGTCACTGAAATGTCTGGAGACCGACTGGCTTGTCTTGTGCAGGTTGCAAGTCCGCATGGGTGGAGGGTCTCAGCTGCCTAGGGAAGGCCTCGTGGGGACCTGGTGTGCTCATGGGCCCAGCTGTGACTGGGGCCAGCTCAGGACTCCTCGGCCTTGGCCTTGGGGTTTCTGCCTCTGCCCTGCCCTACAGCCATTCCTCCTCCACTTCCTGCCATTCTCTGCCCCTCATTCCTGAGGAAAGCTGTTTCTAAGTCCCCTCCAAAGTCTCAGCCTTTGCCCTCCTCCCTTTTCAGGTCATTCTGGTGGGATCTTATTTGTGGGGTGAGTCACCCCCAGTGTGGACAAGTGTGTTGGGTGGAATCTCTGGCCAAGCCCCCCCGAGCCTTCAGTTGACTCAGCCAGATGTATTCAGAACCCGGCCAGGCCTAAGGGGCAGCGGATGAAGGTGGGGTCAGGGACATGGGTGGGCTAGGGGCCAGGGTGTAGGGGGTCTTCATTTACAGTGTTAGATACAATCAGTGCTCTTTTAAAATGAAAGGTATCATTTACTTTTTTTCTTACTGCAAAAGCAATACATGTTCTTTTCAGAAAATCAGAAACAGATAATATAGTAATAAAAAACATTCACACTTCCACACTCCTTATCCCTGTTTACACCTATCAGGCCTCTTTCTCACATACGTAAATAAATAGATAAAATATTTATTTATCAATAAAACTCATAAAGTTACATAAATATTTATTTAGCTTTATATAAGTTAATCATTTATATATGCTGTAGGGAAGGAAGACATTTCTTCTACCCACTCTGGGTCCTTCTGGCCAGACAATGAATTAAATTCACATGAGACAGAATAACAGGAGAAAATTAAACAAAGCTTTATAACATGTATACATGGGAGAGACTCAGAAAAAGTGAGTAACTTGCCAAAATGGCAGAAGCTCTTACCTTAAATATCACCCTCAGCTAAAGACAAAGGAGGATGTTGGAGGTTGGGGGGGGGGGGGTTTGGTTATGGGAGATTACCACACAAGTACAGTAAACGAGTAAGATTATTATGCAGATTTAAGTCCTTGCCTTCTGCATTGATGAGAGTTTCTAGAGATAAGGTCAACCCCCTTCTTTCTGGTACAGAGAGGGAGACACCTTTACAGATGGAGATTTCCTTTATAATGAAAATGTATCTTAAAAAAGGGTAACTTCTACTTCTCAGAGTTTCTCTCATGTCTGCAGTTTTTTAAAAGTAACCAGCCCCAAATAATCCTCATGCCAAAGAGACGAATCTTGGGGTGGCCAATTCCAGTCCCCTACAATACCCTATATGTTGGTTTTGTTTTGTTTGAGGAAGATTAGCCCTGAGCTAACTGCTACCAATCCTCCTCTTTTTGCTGAGGAAGACTGGCCCTGAGCTCACATGTGTGCCCATCTTCCTCTACTTTATATGTGGGACGCCTACCACAGCATGGCTTACCAAGTGGTGCCATGTCCGCACCTGGGATCCAAACTGGCGGACCCTGGGCCGCCAAAGCGGAATGTTTGAATTTAACCGCTGCACCACCAGGCGGCCCTTGTTGTTTTATAACCATGTCAAACATTCACCTTCGCCATAATTTTAATCATTTACCCTCTTAAATATCTTTTCCTTCCTTCCTTCCTTTCTTTCTTAAATATCTTTAACAAACACATGGGATTTCAGGCTTCCTGATGAGATTTCTGCAGAGGTCACTGGTTTGCCTCCAGTGGGGCCTCGTTCTCCCACCCACCCTCCATGTAACCTGGGCAAGTCACTGGCAGTTTATACTTGGAGCAGAGGTCAGAGCCCTGGCTGAGAGGGGACGCACCACATCTCCTGTCCTGAGGCGTGGAGACCAGGCCTGGTGGCTGAGGTCCTACTGGGTGATGGACCTGAGCTGCACCTGGCTCTGGGCCCAGTGCCGGCACCACTGACTCTGGCCCAGCCATTCGTCCTGCCAGAGCCTCTTCCTGTGAGTCGGGGACAATAGTGCCTCCCTCTGGGATGGTTGTGAAGATTAACCAATATGTGTGAAAGCAACAGTCCAAATTCTAGAGAAATCTCTGTCTCTCCGCCCTCCTTTCCCTAGTTTCACGTTTGATCTCACCTTATGCTCCCTCCACGTGTGTCTGGAGGGAGCAGAGCGGGCGCAGGCATACGTGTTGAGAGAAAGGGGCCTGGGCAGTCCTGAGGCTGTTATTCTTTCCCCTACTTCCTCCCTTGGCTTACCTGAAATAAGGCTCTTTATACTAAGATGATAAGACGAAGTGTCGGATCAGATTCAGTTGCATACAGCAGAAAACCGAATCAGTGCCTTACCTGAATGAGAGCTAGGTGGTGTAGGGCTGGCCCCAGGCGCCTTCTGTCTCACCCTCCTTAGCATGAGGCTTCTATGCTAGGTGTCACTGCTTGGCTGTGGGAGCTCCGGCCATTGTGCTCACATTTCAGGGAGGAAGAAAGAGGAAGGAAGAAGGGCAAAAGGGGGATGCCAGCGGCCAGTGTTCCTTTCTTGGAAGCTCACAGGCAGCCTGACTGCAGCTCCCTGGCCAGAATTAGATCACCCACACACTGATCTACAGCGAGGCTGTAAAAAGTAATTGTTCCGCGGAATCCAATCATGATTCCTCTTACTAAGGCAGTGATTGTGTGGAAATCCCTGGGAGCCTCTGCCACACCAGGCCTGGAAGACCAACTTGTGATAGCGGCAAGGAGCATTTGGAGAGGGCTGGATGATGCGGAGGTTCTGAGGAGTGCATTAGGCGCCTTGACCTGCAAAGGGGCAGAATTGAAGCCTTCTGTGGTCCTGACCCTGGTGAGAAGCACCTTCCGCTGGGCTCAAGAGGGCGAGGCTTTCCCAGCGTCACATATGACAACAGAAATTCGGAAAGTCCACACAGCCCCAGAAATGCTAATTGACAAGGGAGCAGATTATTTTTCCTTCTTAAATGTTTTCTGGAATATATACCCGACATCCTTCT